TCCGTAAATTGTTATTTGTAAATAAAGATTCACTCTCCTCACAAGACGTTTCTCTCTTGTGTGTTTTTATGTCACTATATTCCAAGATAGACGCGCGTAATGGTGGCAAATACAGTGTTAACATACTAGAGAACACATGATATTTTAACCTTTTAACATACAGTCACAGAGCTCCACAAGTCAACCTACTATAGTTAGGAGAGACTTCAATTAAACAAGATAATCGTTAAAAGCAGGGAAAACACCAATTAAAGCCACACAGCAATTCTAGAGCTTTTCTTTTTGCCACACTTTTAAGACTCTCCGGGCTGCAAGACGTCATTTTATTTGCTTGTTGTTTCCAAACTAATTTTAGACATTATCAACACCACCGACCGTCTTTAGAGGACTTAGATAGTCAATATCTCATGACAGATAATCCAACACAAAAATCAACAGCCACAGTTTCAGATGTGCGCAAAAACACTTTCTCAAAGTAAACTTACCCACTTCTTAACAATTGCGGATCTGCCTTCGGATGATTCGGTGAGTGATTTGAGTTTCACATTCGATGCGACATGAATTTAATCCTTCTGCTTAAGCTGTGACATTCATGAAAATGTGATGATTTATTATGTCATTCTCAATCACGAAGAGTCAATAAAGTAATAACATTCCCTTTATTCAAGGGGGAGATAATATGATCAGAAGGAGAAGTGTTTCAATTTATGCAATATTTGATGCACAACTTTGATTTCCCATTGATTATTTTAGTCTCAGAAATAAATTTGTATCTCAGTCTGCATTTTGACATATTTTTCTAGGTTATGTGATTGATTTAAAACTAAATAACTGCTTAAAGTTGAACTTCCTGTGCGTAAACTGAAAGTATGTTCAAGAATTGCCAGAATTACGTATTCTTGTTAAATGAAAAACGTTTAGCGATTAAGAAACGATATTAAAATCAAACATAACCTCAATTTTTTGTATCAAACAGCTGAAATTTGCCTAATTTAAGGATTCTGAGCAAGAAAAATTCTCAAACGTCAGTTTTATATTCAGTTTATAGCACTTTTCAAAGATTTCTGAGAAGTGTTAAGGATATTTCAATATTTCATCTGCAATTGTGAATAAATTCTTATCCAAGCGATCATTTTGACATATATTTTCTAGGTTATGTGACTTATTAAAAACGAAAAAATGGTTGAAAATAGAAATTCTGTGACTGAAAATGATAATTTTCTCATTTATTAGTAGAAATGCGCATTTTCGCTCATTGCAAACTCTCAATGCAAGCTTGAGGTTTAAAGAACATTAAACATAACCTCAAATTTTCACTTCACAATATCAAATTTGAGGCTAGAAGGATTAAAAGTGCAATTAAAAGTAGAAAATCATCAATATTCTATTGAAAATCGTGAGAAAAGTCTGAAAATCAGAGTTCTACAGTCGTCAGTTAGTTAGATTGGTTAGATTTCAGTCAGTTTTTAGTCATCAAATGTCATCATTTGGACCTGAAAAGAATGCATTAAAATCTTTGCATAGAAGAATAAAACACAAAATGTTAATTTATATGATATATTTCATTTTCATATTGTATTTTACAGTCTAAAATATTATTTGTAATAAATAAATACCGCAAGTTCATTTCCATTATGAATTTATCTTCTCTACTGTGTCTTCCTTTAGTCTTCTCACAACTTCCCTTCCATAGAAAACCAAGACGCCTCGGCACGAGAGTGCGTCACTGAAGAAATAAAAGGCATAAATTCATAATTCTACAATAATAATTTAGCATCCATTTATTTTCTTAAAAAAAATTTTTCTCAGTAGATAAAATGAGATCAGACAAGTAATTTTATCGTCGTAATAATTTTCTGTGTTAGGAATTTTTTTTCGTTTTGGAAATGATATAAATTAAAAAATAGAACCATAGAAAGTAAATTATCCTTAATGTTTTCGGCACATTTTTCACTGTTTGTTAAAAGAAAAAAATGCAGAATTCAAGCTGGGAAACTTACTAATTCTCGCGCGAGAATTGCATTAAAAAGGTAAAAATTATTGAACCACTAATAAAATGTGTTGGAAATCTATGGGTGAATCGAAAACTATAAAAAGCAAAAATCGCAAATTTTGCAGCAGAGCGATTTCAAAATTTAGCGTTAAAACAGCTGCGAAATTTGCCAAATTTACTTCAAAACCCCTTCAAATCGTCCGTCAAAGTGCAAATATTGCTCAGAATTTATCATTTCGTAAATATTTCAGTTGATTTTATCGGTATTTATTAGAATTTTAGTCAAAATTAATAGAATATCTGAAAATAATACTGTCCAAAGTCGATTTTTAATAGTTTTTGAGTCGATTTTATCCAAACAAGCACTAAAATAATCAATTTTTCATACAATACGTGAAAAAAAACTGAAAAGATATGAGAAATCTTGATTTAAAGTCTAAAAAACATTTTAGAATAATTCTGAAAAGGCGTTTTAGACGTTTGACTGCAATTTTTCAGATATTTTTCTTAGAAAAAATTATACAGCGTAAAAAATGAATATTTCATTTTTCAATTTGCAAAACATGACAATTTTTTTTCATTTGTGCTTTTTAGATAAATAAGAAATTTTACTATTGTCACATAAGATAAGAATCTCAAAATTTTCATACAGGAAGAACAAATAAAAAGCTTTTCAGAAATACATTAAGACGAAAACTATAATAAATCGACTTTTAATAGTTTTCAGATTCACCAGTCGAAATGAGAACTGACAGAATTGATAATGCAAGGATGTGAATATTCCTATTCTTAAGATCCCTAATGCGTGACGCTCTCGATTCTCTCTCTCTCTCTCTGTCTTAATCTAATCTTCATCCTGATAAGCGATCCCGAGAAGGGATGAGTTTGCATGCGAGTCTTTAATTCCGCCAACAGCATTAAATCATTCCGCAGTAATTCGCATTCTTCGCTCTTAGATGTCTAATTAGCCTTTATTTTCACCGCTCGAGACACTTTTCTTTTCATGCTGCAACTATTGATCAAAGTCGTAAAATGCAAGACTTCTAGATTAATAAACCTGTTGCCTAAATCGCTTCGCGTCAATTTAACGTAAATGTAATTTGTCAGGGATTTTTTTTTGTAAATGTTGGATAAACTCATTTCAGCGCTAAGCCTGAATTTTTGTAAATCCAAGAAAAACAAAGTCCAAAATCGGCTTTCGCAGCCTGAAAAAAAATGTGAAATCAATCTTCAGCCGTTTTGTTTTTCTCTCTATAATTATTGTGTTTAACGCCAAAAATTGGGATTTTTTTATCGGTTTTGCTATCAATTTTTTTTCCCTCTTCACTTTGCAATAAATTGAGAAAATATTCAAACTATGTTTGTTACTTTCTTTTTCTCTCTACAATAATACTTCAAATATTTTAAACTTTACTTTCTCTTTATATTTGCATGTGTTTTTTTTCTTTGCTCTTCGTAAGAATTCTCTCTTTGTTTGTTTGTTTTCTTGTTTTTTTTGATAATTCTCTTCTGCGGTTTTTTTCTTCTTCATCATCATGAGTTTCTGGATTAAACATTCGAAACCTCATTTAATAGTTAAGGAAGATTACATTGACGCACAAGAACTGCACGATTTTTTTTGTGTACTTTTCGCTTAATTTAAATATCCCTTCATCTGCACAAATTCCATTTTCAATTTTATTGTAGTAAAGTTTAAAGTAAATGTTTGTTTTTACGTTATTTCCTATTATTCCTCTTGTTTAAAAATAAATTATGTATTTTTTTATATATATTTATTCTCCATAGTTATTTGATCCTTATTTCTCTATATTTCTTCATCTTCTTCTTAGTTTCCTTTCTCTTTATTTATTTATTTATTATAATTTTTAATGACAATTACATGGATGATCCCATTTATTTTTTTGTCCACTTCAGAATGTGTCATTTTCTTAGCTTATTTTGCGAAACTTTAACGCATCTTTTTGTTTTTATATACAATTTAATATCTTTTGAGTTTTTCTGAATGAATTCTTACTTTCTTCTCCTTTTTACTTTGCGTTAATCATGTTTCTTTTTTTTGTTGTTTATAAGTCACTGGCAGTTCAATTTTTTTCTTTTCTCTTTTCTTTTAACATGATTTTCTAAGTGTTATTTTGTCGAGTTTCCAAAAATGAAACTATATATATATTTAATCGGGGAAAATTTCTTCACATTACAATTCGGGAAAGAGGAATTTTAGAAAAATCCTTTTTTGTCACTTTTCCACATTAATCGCTAGAAAAAAATTTCTTATATTGCATTTAAAACAAACTATGCATTATATGTATATGTTGTTTGTTATGTTTTTTTTCTTTCTTCTTTCTTCACTTTTTTTTAAAAATATACCACACTACATTATATTCAATATTCTACTTGAAAACATTTTTATGATAATTTCTCTCGAAATATTCTTGAATTTATTCATTTTTTTCTTTCTTTAATTATTGTTACGTATAATTTGTGTTATTTTTCTGTTTTTTTTTTCTTTGCCTTCTCTTACGAATAATTCATCAATCTAGATTTTCTTCTCTTCTTCTTTTTCTTTTGTTGTAATTATTTGGCCAGAAAAAAGGGACATTTTCAGCCCTTAGAAATTTGCAAACTAAAAAACATTCATCATCATTCAGATGGGAAACCTTTTAATAAATTAAGAAAATGAAATAAAATAAATAAAAAGCTGAACAGCCAGAAAATGTGTGCAGTTCATAAAAAAAAAACAAATATTCGATTCATAATAATTAATAATAATAGTAATAATTATAAAAAAAAATCCCCCACTTTTTGCACTTTTACGCAAATTACATTAAAATCCCACGTAATACAAAAGAACGCATTTCTAACTAATTTAAACGCCTCTCTTTTTCTCTTCGTTTATTAGCAAATTCATCACGAATGTTGTTTAATTAAAATAAAGACTTAACACGAATGCATGCTATTGAATATTTTCTTTCTCTGACAAATTTATCTTTCTTCCCTCTTTTTTTTCATCTTCCTCTTCTTTAATAAATTACACGAATAATTACTGGATTATCATATTATGTTTAAATATACATATTTCGTAATTTTTTTTTGTAACTTTCTAAATGTCAGATTTTGTAGTTTTTCTTCTCCTCCTTTTCTTCTTCTTTCATCACGCGCAACCACCTTTAGAAGTTTCTCCAACGATTCTCAACACACACACATTGGAAACTCACTTTGCTCTTCAGTCGTCATCATCGTCTTGTTTTTCACCTCCACATTATTCAGATGCTTCCTCGGTATTGAGAAAATTACTCTTGAACGATTCATTGCTCTCATCATCATCATCATCATCATCGTCTTCTCTCGCTTCACGCGGCAATTCTGCGCGAGTGTCATTTCTAGAAAGGCAAACTGAAGTGGAGGCCCACATCTGGGGCCACTTGGAGCTTCTATAAAAATCGCGGTGGGCCTGAGTGATATGATCCAGGCGCCGGACTCTGTCGGTGCATCGCATAGGGTGACGGAGACGGTGGGCCGCGCATGAAGTGGTGGAAATTGCTTGGAGACGGCGTCGACATGTGACGATGCTGCAGGAAAAGAGAAGCATTTATGTAGCTAATCATCATCTTGCAATTCTAAAGACGTCTTGAACTAGACTATTGAAGTACTTAGAAACTTCTTCCAAAATAGCCTAACATTGCAACAAAATTTAAGTCTCTTTGCACACATGGGCTAATGCTAGAAAGGATACTAAGGCAGTTAGGGACTGTATTCTGTCCTTATGGCAAAATATCTGTGAATTCACGCACGTGGAATCACGATTGCGATAACAACGTGACTAAAACCTCCTTAAATATTTCATGCGTGACACGTGAGTTAAGCCTCGTTCACACTGTGTACGGAATTTCTTGTGGCCTTAAACTGCCTAATTATCCTTTAACATTAGCCCATGTGTGCAAAAGGCTCTTAAAAGACCTTCTGTTGTTCAAAATAGTTATAGAGTCTTGCAAAATCTTTCCATCGAGCCCAAAATCGTAATGATCGGTTAAATAGAACCGAAGTTATAGCGTTGTTAATATTGAAACTTAAAATCTCCATAACTTCGGTTCTATTACTTCAGCAATAAGTTATAACTTATGTTTAGGGACCTTTCATATCTTCGGGTATCGTGGAAAATCCATAACGATTTTACCAAAATAATCGATTTTGAATTTTGAAAACTATTTATGTAATTTTAGCGTCCCTAGCGATAGTTGTATCAAGTTAGGATGTTCTGATGAGAAAAAGCATTTCACAAGATCTTTCCAATGAGCTCTTAATGATTCAGATCGGATAATTAGAAGCGAAGTTATGGCTGTTTAAATCTCAAAATTTGAACCTTAAAATCCAGGGTCTGGAAGGACTTAGATCCTTGAGTAATAATTCGTTGGAAAGGTCTTGAGGCCAGCTATAACATACTAGAAATTAGAGCAGATCCATGCCAAAGGGGCTGAACAAATGAGGAAAATGTGTTTTAGGGGTGTTCAAAATGGCGGATTTTCGTCATATTTCGTCATTTTCTCAATCACTCACTTGCATCGTGTGGACATTCATCCCAACGGCCCCAATCAAGTGACTCGATCCATCGCCCAAGTCCAATTGCATACTTTCGCCCTGCTCGCCGAGCTGCAGTTGTCCCAGCGAAGCCGTTGCCATCGCCACGTCTGGCATTATATCGGACAAGTGGCCGTCAGAGCAGGAGCTGGACTCCTGCTCGGCCATCGGCAGTCTGTAGCCTCCGCTGGCGTCGCCCTCGATGATCAGTGCTGGCAGTTCTTGGCGCCGGATGACGTGATTCTGCTGCTGCTGCTGCTGTCGCGGGAATGTCATGTTGCGTCCATAGCACGCGGCCACATTCTGCACGGCCGCAGCTTCCGTGGGCAGAGCCGGCGATGGCGGTGGTGAAGCACCATCTGAAATCAAACCCAGAAGAATAAATGTCATTTCCAATACGCTAAACAAGACTCCCAAAAGCTCTTACCATCGAGAGATCCCTCCAGTTCATCCCGAACATCATTCACTCCCCGCGTCTCGTCGACACAGTAGCAGGACGCATTCTCGAGCATATCTGCCACGGCATCCGGAAAGTTAAACTCCCTGACAACTCTCAGTCTCACTTGGCGATTGATCTCGTGCCTGGAGGACAGTGGAAGCGCAAAAGCACGCTGACAGCTCGCCGATTGACGAATTTTCTGCTCTCTCTTCGCCATTGCGGCCACAGTATTAGGATCAGGAGCAGGTAAAGCCGCCGCCACAACATCCACAGTTCCCTGACCAGCAGTGCCAAGTCTCGACACCATGTACAGCGTGTCAGGAATATCTGGCAAGTGTCGTGACAATCGCATGCGCAACATATCCAACTGCTGTGACGCCATGTGATCCTCCAGCAGAGCCTTAATCTCCTCATAGTACGGCATAAATAGTCGCGGACGCACAAATAATCCATGATTCTTCCCACCACGAATCCATGCGTTCACACGCAAATTCTCCCGATCATCGCCAATCATGTGCGACGGTGGCGTGCTGACCAATCCACGTCGGATGGCCTGATTCAGCACCTCACTGTTGGGTGGCAAGACGTGATCCATTCGCACCAACGGCAGCAACTCCGACAGAATCTCACGCAATTCCACATCACTCAAGTCACGCTTCTTAATCCCCTTCCGCGTCACTGAATGCGCCGTGTGACTTAGCAGATTCGGCTCACGATCCTCCATACGCCGAATTAGCTCCTGCTCACCCCACTTCAGCACCGCCTGCAGCACCTCCAGCTCCGAAGCCTGCAAGAAGTTACTCCGCAGAGCGCCAATGAGTTGGGATTTGTCCAGCTGATGAAGCACTTGGGAGCAGGAAATTGCGGGAAACTCCTCGCGAAGATAGTGGCAAGCTTGTCTGTACACCCAGGCAGATCCGTGCGGTTGACTGCCCCACTTGAGCACCGTCGGCAGTGTGTCCAGTGTCAGCCACTCGAGAATTAAATCCTCACATCCCTGCGCCAAGATATCCAGCTCTAAGAATCGCCCAATCTGATAGAGTTCCATAGCTTCCTCCAGCGGACTGGGACGCGTTCGTCCCGTGTGTGTCAGTGCTTGCACCTCACCAAGACTCCCCGAAGCGCCGCCGCCGCATCCGCTGCCACGCAGGATCAGCGACAAATCCACCGTGTCCAAGTAGATGGCGTGCAGCAGCACACGAGCATATCGCTTCGGTATGACTGTCTCATCGAGGACAATCCGTGTTGGCACATGGAGAGCACGCTCAGTGTGTTCATCGCCGTTGCGCGTTCGCCTCTGGATGAGATTGCGAAAGAACGGCGAACGAGCACTGAGAATTGCCTTGTGACAGGGCAACTCGAGCTTCGGTCGGAATCCATACTCGGAACTCCCTGAATCTGGCCTGTGATAGTCACTGCCTTCGGCGGTGAACACGAGAGCGGCGTCCGCATAGTCTCCCGTCTCGAGGAGATATCTCAAGTCGTGCTCCAGCGGATTGGGCGTGCCAAAGTCCTCGCCCAGACGCCGCAGCAGTCCCACATCGATGGTGGGATCGTGAGGACACAAGTCGCCAGTGTACAGGTATCGCAGCAGAGACGAGAACATCGACACGTCCACGGGTGATGAGCGGAGTTCAAGGCAAATGCGGGCGCCATATCCGGGACACCCGGCCAACAGATCCCTGAAGTAGGGACATCGCGCCGACAGCAGAGCCCGATGCACCGGAAAGACCGTTCCCCGGAACACCAAGTCGCAATCTGTGCAGTGCTTGAAGTCATACAGAGCACTCAAGTCCTGCTTGAATGTCGTGGCCGGCGGACGCGCGAGTTCCGCCTGAACGGACAAATCCTTGAGCGCCGCCAGTGATTCGTACTCATCCAGCAGCGCAGCCAACTCGAGGCTACTCCAATCCGACACAAAGTCACGCAACACGCGCCCATGATCGCAGGCCTTCGACGAGCGTCGACGGCGTATGAACTTCTTCCTCAGCGTGGCAAAGCCCGTGACCTTCTTCCTCCTCTCGCGCAAAAGGGCCCCACCGGCTGCCGCCTGCATCGCGCCACTGCCACTGCCCGTGGGGCAATCTGTCGTTGATATTGTAGCTCCCATTGTGCCACTCTCATCTGTCATACGAGATCCCGATTTACTGTCGCACCAGAAAACGCCGCAGGGCATGAGACAACCCCATAGGCTCATGCCGCCACAGGAGGACCTGCAAGAGCAAGACACAAACGCCCTCATTTCAAATCCAATCTATTATTCATCAAGACACACTTTAGGCCACACCAGCGACTCTATCTCTCTTCTATTCCATGCCACATTATTTTACTCACACACTCGCCGTACAAATTACAATTGAATCAATAAACTAAAGCCTCGTTGCAACCTTACTTCCATAACCCCATATTAAATAAGATGTCAAAAATGTGAATTCGTAAAAAGATGTTGCAAGATTACAATTCATAACATTTACTAATGTAGGAAATTTATCTTCTACGTGATCTGAAATGTGTCAAATGTTGACGTCTTAAGTCAATTTATATTTGACAAGAAAAGCCGGAAAATTCACGTGAAAACCAAGAAAATAGTGATGTTCTTATGAAGATAAACACATATTTATTGGCTTTTTCTGGCCATTTGTGCACATTTTAATGCATCAGATTGAGATTATGAGTTTCCGGACATTCTTCGACTCTTTCAAATACATAAAAAGCTGTATTCTTATTCTATTTACTATTCACGCGTACGCTCAAATGTCACAACAAAGTCATTTTCCTGGACAATATGGTCAGCAAAATCCTTTAAAAATCCCATCGGAAACACGCCTAATGTCAAGAACAGTAATTGGGATTCACTATTTTGAAGTTCCTTGACATTAATTTCGGAGAAACACGGAAAAATGGCCAGAAACTGGGCGGAATTGGGAATATTCTACCCTTAAAACACCCTCAAAGAGCAAATCTCACACTTGACATTCTGACAGCTGTCAAATCTTAAAAAATACACTCAAACTTTGTCTTGCAACGCCTTCTCGATCGTATTTCAATCGTTCTTTACACCAGCGCCGCCAGTCGGCCATCAATATAAGCTATGAAAACGTAAATTTGCAACATTGGTAGCTTTTACGAAACTAAAATACGAAATCAGTAATGTTGCAACGACTCATAAGTCCTTCGGAGCAGAGGAAGTGATTCTTCTCCGCCGCCACGGATGAATAGAATCTCCTTGGCTCACTAATCACCGAGACTATTGCATAATACAGCAGATAACACATTGATATCATCCCCAAATTAGATTCTTGCTGCACACTCAAAGCATGCTTGGCAATAATCTTCTGACAACATCTTTCTGTATTTTGTGTACATTTTCCAATTACTTCATGCGTGCAGAATGAAACTTCAGAAACATTTGTATTATTAACTTCTGCAGAAGCGTAGAAAACACAAGAGTTAAATAACCTGGAGAAACTGCTGATTAATAAAGAGAAAAATTGCACATCATTCGGACTTTCCGTGAATTGCAACACAAAATGAAACATTCTGCAAGTGTGCTTTAGGGTTTTATTGCATTAAAAACAGTAGATTTAAGTCGAAAAGTCCCAACATTTTTGACTCCACTTCGCGACGATCAAAGGGAAATGCGGAAATATAAACAATCTGACTTTTGAACTTTGAGCAGAGATTTTTTTTTCGATATTCCTTTTGACGTAAGCACAAATTATCGATCCTGGGGCGAGGGAAAATTCCTGCACTATTCTTCAATTGCTCTTAACTATACTTCCGCCCTTTTTGCCACAGAATTTCCACCACATTTCCTCCACAGCGACAGTCATTTTTTCTACTCTTTGCAATATCTTGAGCGCATTTTGCCAAGGAATTTCCTCCACACTTTCTCTTTGCCCTTTCCGGACACACACGCACACAACACACTTAAGATGCAGCCCCTGACGTGCTGACCTCGAAAATTACCTTCAATCATTGTTACTCTGCAGAAATGACAACCAAATCACGTCTCAGTGTCTCGAAGATGCAGACATTTCAGTGAAATATTTTCCTTTCAGGGAATGCGAAGCAAACAAATGTTCAATTTACTGGCTGTCAGCCATGTTTACTGTGTTTCCTCTCAGACTTCGAATCTGCCACTTTTCACACGTACATTTTTCACCCAAATATCAGCGCACACATTCCGTCCTCATTTTCACCACCAGCACCAAATCAATTCCTGGACTTCCGTGCAAATCTTACGCATGAATTTGCAAAGAGAAATTCACTTTTTCATCGTGAAAATCCACGGAAAACTCACACGGAATTTCACTACTCTCTCTCCACCAACTTCGACACTTTGGATAATTTCACTGTGCAGGATAATGTTTTTGGGGTTGTCGCATTGCATTATCCAAGATGTCGGATGTGCTGAATATCCAACTGTCTCACCTGTGCGTGAGTGGGAGAGAGAGAAGACTATCGTTCGCCGCGAAAACTTCGAAAACAGCTGACGTCTCGTTCAGTGTGAAGTAAGCGGCGCATTTTCGGCAGGCGGCCGAGGAAAAAGTTTATATTTTCCCACCGCGATTTTCTTGCAATTTCCCCGCAAATGTCTGACCATTTGGACTCGGAGAGTAAACTATGGACTGACGATTTGCAGGTGTGCACACAAACAGGCGCCGGTTTCGCCACCAATCAGCAATATCGCGAGGACGGAGCCAGAAACAATGAAGCTTCCTTCAAGTTTCGCGACAGAAGCTTTCACATCAAGGTCGATGAAAATACGTGAGTTTGTGGGCAATTTTCCCGGGAATTCTCTGGATGAATGTGAGACTCTTGTTCCAGATGCTTGTATGCCATTTGCTCAGGACACAATGGTTCCAAAGTGGCGCATCTCGCCATACAGAAGATCGCGGCTGAAATCGCCTTTGGCGGCCTCAGCGGGAAGACGAATGAGGAGGAGGTGAAGGAAGTGCTCAGGCAGACGTTCATCACCGTGGAGAAGACATATCTGGAGACAATTGACACGCTGTTGGCCAGGAAGGCCATTCGTCAGTACGAGATCCCCGAGGGAATCAGTCAGTATGAAATATCGCAGAAGTATCAGGATATTCTGGATGAGCTGAAGCAGATCAATGAGGAATTGTCGGTGGGAACGAGTGTCGTGATTGCCCTTATCTGCCACGGGAAGCTCTACATTGCGAATGTGGGCAATTGCCGGGCTCTGCTCTGCAAGAGTGACACAAACAATGTCCTGCGTGTTGTGCAACTGAGTGTCGATCACAATCTCTACAATGAGGATGAGATTCTGAGGCTTTGTCAGCTCGGTCTGGACACTCAATCCCTCCGACAGGCGCCACTGAACTGCACCCGATGCATCGGCAGCTATATGAACAAGACTGGCTATCGGGATTGTGACTTTCTGTCCGGCGCCACGGCAGAGCCAGTTATCTCACAGCCGGAAATTGTGGGCGCAATTCCCGTGGACGAGACCTGCAGCTTCCTGATTCTCATGTCTGGCGGAATGTGCAAGACACTGCAGGAGATCTTCTCCATGGAGATCAGTCAGGTGAACAAGGAGATGATCCAAATGGCTGTGGAGCAATTCCGCTCGCAATCCACGCTGGCCGGCGTGGCGCAGTCGATGGTGCACAAGATCGTTCAGTTCCATCATGATCTCTACATTGAGCACGTGCAGGAGCGCAGGGATGAGGAGATGCCGCTGCCCTTCACACGACGCGACGATATCACACTGTTGATAAGGAACTTCAACTTTGTCATGCCGAAGTCGAGCAAAAGAGGCGCCGTGAGATTCAATTCCATCGTGCGCGAGCATCCAGCCAACAATTCCATCGTCTTCTCAGACACAAACACCTTGTCCAGTACAAACACTTCGCAGTACATCAACACCAACAGCTCCACATCCTCGTATTCCGACACAAACAGTCGCTACAGGAGAGATCAGCAGAAGATCACGCCATATGTGGACTTCACCGAGTACTACAGAAACGTCGAGCAAGCGAGGCAGAGCAATAAACTTCCGCCTGGAATTGACTTTGATGAAAATGTGCCTCTTTAAGCTTATACACACATAAGAAGAAGAAAAAAACTTGCGTGATTTTTGAAACGATTTTTATACTTAAACAGTTTTTATTAGTCAAAAATACAGTATTTGCACTTAGAGAGTGTAATCTAGCCACTGCAAGAGTTTCTCATAGTGATCATCCATCTGCTTAATATCCTGTGTGCTGTTGACTTCGGTGAAGAACTCCTCAAAATCCCCAATAACTGGTGAGACTTCGTCAAACATTATTTGTCCGTTGTCCGAGGGAATTTTATACGTTTTCACCTTTTGGTACTGATCACGCTTGTCATTGACAAAAATCACCTTTTCCTCCTCCAGTTCAGTGTCATTTGCATCCTCCAACATCCCAACGGGAGGCAACACTGTGGTCACTTCCTGGTATTCCGTTGGAATGGAATTGTGATCCGCTGTGAGTCGCTCACCGCGATCGGAATTCAAGTGTCCGTGAAATGTGGCGTTGTCCGTGCGCAAAATGATATAATTGTACTTTGTGAATGTTGACTGATTGCCAAAGTGATGAATGTGCTCCACGGGAAGGATGACTTTAATTGGTATCACGAATCCTTCGTCATCTTCTTGCTTCTGTGATGTTGTCTCGAGGAGTTCTTCGCCAGAAGATTCCTGCAGTGACATCGAATTCTCCTGCTGCTCATTCTCACTGAGATTCGCTCTCGTGCTCGTCTCCGTGTCCTCAGGACTGGTGGTGGTGGTTGTCTGGACAGGCGGATTGAGGGGAATTGGCGGGATTCTGTAGGATATCTGTGTGAGAGAGAATCGCGAGAACACTTGTAGTAAATATGATAATGATTTTCCAAGGCGGAGATAATACAGTCAGAAGTGGTGTACAGCTCAGCAGAAGTACTTAAGAAGTGGAAGTGTTCAAAATCTTACAATATTCCTTTGCTGTGTGCTTCTTTTACTAACAAATTATCCGTGATTTTTTGGATTTCCTTTCATTTTTACGCAGAAATCAGGGCAGAAATAATCATATGTATCTTTTTTCTAGGTTATGTAACGTTTCAAGGACAAATTTAGGCAATTTAGTGAATAATTTGCATTCTAGCACAGCAATTCTTCGGCTTAAGTCTGAGAGATCGCTAGTTTTTCGCAGAATTCTGTATTTGTATGCAAAAAACATTACTTTTCTGCACATTTAATACCAAGAAATACAAGAAATGCTTGCTAAGATCAAACATAACCTGAAAAAGAGTATTTTGGACACTTTCTAGACGATTTTGACTTTTATTCAGCAATTTTGAGTTCATTGACAAATCATAACAGATGATTTTGTACTCTAGAAAGCTTCCAAAGCGTCCAAACAGAATCCTTGAAGATCTTCTAGTGCTATTTTTTAGGTTATGATTGAAAGAATGACTAAAAAAGAATCGATTTGAAGACGGATTTTACGGAAATGTCCGATGGAAATGTCCGATGGAAACTTCAGAGATTTATTTAAGACGTTTCAGACTTTAAGAACTTCATGCGCTGGAAGTGTTTAGAAAGTGGTGTACAGATTTATGGCACATTATCTTCCCCTTGTGCTTTTCTTTTTTCACTGTTGATTGAGACAATGCTGACCTCACAGAGAGCGAGAGATAAGCTGGGAAAATATTTCAAAGAAATCCTACATTGCAGCTTCATTAACTTAAGGTCATGAATAATTCATTTTGCGCCTATATCTAAATGATAATATAATCTCTCTTGATCAGTACGCTAAACAGTAAGTGGAAAATTGGTAATTATCGTGTGATTGCGCGCTTCAAGGAATCAATCCTATATGGCTTCAATTGCAGAGACACGAAAGACACTGCATAGAAAGTGCATGGAAAATGCGAAGTGAATTCACGGCAAAAGTGAAAGTACTCACGTTGCAGGAGCCGCAAGGAGCGTCGTAGATCGTGGAGAGGATCGAGGCCTTCACGTATGGATACTGAACGAAGCTCCAAGGTGGAACGATGATATATACAAGGCGTGAGCAGTGATCTATTACGTAAACCTGATTCTTGCCCATATTCTGGAGACTCTCGTGCTGCGACTGGTGCACAATTGGTATGTTTTTGATGCTGTTTTTGACTATGTTGAAGTCAACGGATGATATATTGCCCCCACTGATGCCCACAAAGTGAATTGACTTGTATCCAGCGTCTTCGAACCGATTTCTAAGTTCATTCAACCTGCAAAAGAGACAACTTTTTAGTCCCGCTGCACTATTGATAATGGACGCGAGCGCGGTTTTACATAGAAATCTGTCGAAGACAAAATTGTCAGGAGATGCACTTGAACAGGACACTAATCTGACCCTCGAGATTCACTGTGGCATTGCCAATGTCGAATCTCTGGCACAAGTTGAAGTCCTCATCGATGAGCTGTTGCGTATCACGAATCCACCTCAAGTCACTCACGCTGGGATTTGCCCACGCGACCACGGAGCACAGGAGCGGAATCAGCACGCTCTTCCACATCACTGAGATTGGTTGAAATTTGAAATGTGTTACATGCACGAAGCTCAGACAGGCACTGGGGCGATTGAAGTTCATTGATTCATTTAAGCGCACACAAACCACACAATTTTCCTTTAAACTTTATCGCCGCCGAGAGCTCCGTGATATATTGCGATGCGACCTTTCACCTTGAGTGCCGCAGAGCGTTTAATCGCGGCCCAGCATCTATGAAATTTTTCATGAGAATCTTGAGAGATAAATTTCTCTTATTTATTCCCATTCCCACAAAAATTTCTCTTTACTGGTGTGGTCTCTTTCACACCGTTGTGAAGCATCCACACGCTCAAAATAATTGTGGTGATTTTTTATCTCACGCGCGCAATTCAAGTCGCGCCATCAGAGTCTGAGATTCTCTGTTATGCAATGTTGACGGTTTATTTGTTTATTTTCAGGATGTCGGCTCTCATGACGCTGAAACCTGCCAAATTGGCCATTATTACACATGATCTGCCGATTGTCTATTCATTTCCTCAACACTTTTAGTGAAACAGACACTCAGGAACATCCTTATCGAGGTGTCCTTGCCGAAATATCAGATCTTTATAGCAAAATCATTCTTTGAGGCTAGATTTAAATGATATTTCTACGTGTGATTTGACTGATCCTTGCGCATTCCTAAAGGACTTTGGATGTTCTGATAGCGACACATTTCGATTCCTAGTTCTCCAGAAAAACACTCAGCTACGGAAATGAGTAGAATTCTTATTTAATTAATTAGTGTGACACCTTATTTGCCACGGAGCACGCATTAATGATTATTATTATGATTATTGTTTTGATCATTCATTCATTCATTCTATTTGACATTTTTATAGCGATTTTTTTCGACGATTGATCGCGATATCATAGATCCCGATAAGATGATTCTGTGCGAAGACTAATCGTTGGACAGTCTTGTAGATTATGAGTAGAAGCAATCGTTTTTTAAATCAATATTACAAAGCTTTGTTTTACTTCAAGTACAATTTATGGAAGGAATGAAAGCAATCAATTGAACTATATAAATTCTTTTTAATTTGGGAAAATTATGGGGAAACAGTCAACAAATTTCAAGTGCATGTTCAGATTGGAATTTGAAAATTATAGTTTCCAACATGAAGAATTTCCCATGAACAGTTAAGGACTGTCGTTCGGCCGGCAATGGACGAAGATCACAAATACGTTGTTTCGTTACTGGGCAGCCGACCATAAACATCCATAATACACTTGCTGGAGTCAAGATAATTCGATTCATTTCTGTCTTTTCTTGCTTATTGAGTCTTGTTAAGGTTTTGTAGTGTTTTAGCGTGTCAATTTGTAAAAAGTAATTGAAGTGTCGAAGCAGAAATATGATGAATACTGGGTAAGTTAGTGCCAATTGAGGTCACATTACTGTACTTTTGGGTATTTTACAAACAGATTCTCGCATATTTTATTCAATCGTGTGTAAATCTGCTGAACTTTGAACATTGTTCGCTTGTGTTATTCTGTCTCGTCATTTGAACGGTATCTAATCTGCGAATTCACAGTACAATTCACCAATGATTCTGCGATAAAAAATATATTTTAATTATATCATCCCTTGTTTTGCAATGCAATTAAGGAAACTCGCCGGCCGGACATTGTTTATCACGGGCGCTTCGCGTGGAATTGGCAAGGCGATTGCCCTGAAGGCAGCTCGCGATGGAGCCAACATTGTCATAGCCGCCAAGACGGTGAATCCGCATCCGAAACTGCCCGGAACGATCTACACGGCGGCTGCGGAAGTTGAGGCGGCCGGAGGAAAGGCTCTCGCCTGCGCCGTGGACATCCGGGATGAGAATCAGGTGCGCGAAGCCATCCAGTCGGCGGTGGCGAAGTTCGGTGGGATTGATATTGTTGTGAACAATGCCAGTGCGATCTCGCTGACGCCAACGGAACAGACTGACATGAAGCGATACGACTTGATGCACAGCATCAACACGCGGGGAACATTCTTGGTGTCCAAGGAGTGCCTGCCGTACTTGAAGCAGAGCAATCACGCGCACATCCTGAACATCTCGCCACCCTTGAACATGAGTCCGCACTGGTTTGGGCCTCACGTGGCCTACACAATGGCCAAGTATGGCATGTCCATGTGCGTTCTGGGCATGTCGCATGAGCTCAAGTCCCTGGGAATTGGCGTGAATGCTCTGTGGCCACGCACGGCGATCTCCACGGCGGCCATGGATATGCTGGCGGGAGAGGGAAACACGAAATACTACCGGAAGCCCGAGATCATGGCTGATGCCGCGTACGTGATACTCTGTCGTGAGCCACGTTCAACCACTGGAAGCTTCTACATCGACGACGAAGTGCTGAACAGCGCTGGAGTCAGCGATTTGCGTGAATACGCGTGTGATCCTGAGTTTGCTGATCAACTGCTGCCGGATTTCTTCCTGGAGTACGACAAAGCCCAGATGGACAAGATGACGGAGGCAATTAAGACACCGGCAAGGAACAGTGACGCTTCCAGTGGCAATATTGCTGGACTCTTTGCCAAAATCGAGAGTCTGATGAGTGAAGAGTTGGTGAAGCGAGTCGGCGCCAGTTATTCGTTCAACTTGAAGGGCAAGGAAGCCGGAGCCTGGTATATTGATCTCACAAGTGGCTCTGGGAAGTGTGGCAAGGGACAACCACAAGTTCCCGCCGATGCCACACTCACGATGGACACGGCGCACTTCTACGACATGTTTAGTGGAAAACTCAAGCCGGCCAATGCCTTCATGTCGGGAAAGCTGAAGATTTCCGGAGATTTGTCCAAAGCCATGAAACTGGAGAAACTCATGGGCAGTTTGAAGTCTAAACTCTGAGGAAAAAGGAGCGTCAATTTATCATTTATGCATTCACATGTGGAATATGTATTTTTTCAAGCATTAAAAGGGGTTTTTATTTAATCCGTGTTACGTTATAAACTGCGAAGTCAGGTAAATTATCTTTCCGGAAGTGTCTTCGTATGCAAACATGCAGGATTTCTTCACTCCCACGCACAATCTGTTGCACGCGACGAATTTCCTGGAATCCACTTCACTGTCCTCCAGAACATGAACAACGTGAGATGCGTGAACGAGAAGAGGATCGCTGGGATAGATGAGAAAATCGCCGCCAAATGTCGATCCGGACGTGACGAAAACTCCCTTTTCCCACAAACTGCTGAACACTTTGTACTTGAGCTCATCCATCCTGCTAAAGGGCGGCAGAATCACGCTTTCTTCCTCACTTCCGCGGAACATGTGCTCTGTGGGAATCTGCACAAGGAGATTCTCTCTGCTCAGTTCAGGAATCTCATTTATCTTGTCCTGGAGGATTTTTTCCCTGTCCAAAACAACATCTGCCTCTTTCACACCAGATTTGAGAAGCTTCTGTCGCTGTCCTGACATTATTTTCTCGAGATTCTCCTCCAATTCTCCGACTTTCCTCTTCTTCAAGATTCTCCTTTGATCCTGAAGCTGCGCATCCAGAAAACTCCTGTATTGCTGGACACACTCTGGCGCTGGCGGTGCACGCAATCCTGAGTTCCTCCTCAGCGACACCAAGCCCTTCTCCACCAGAAATCTCACCTCGATCTCAGAGAAAACCGCCGGTAAACCGCCAATTGCATTGCTTCTGGGATTGTTTACATTGCATCCAATCAAGGTTCCCACAATTCTGTGCTCCGTCCGAAGTGTCATGTAATCTGCAAGCAATGAGAATACTCGTAATTGATGGACAGTCATTATTGCCACCAGCACACACCATTTGTGTTGAAGAGAAATCCACGATTTTCAATTATATTCAATTGAATTGCACTCATTTGGCATGTAAACAGAAAATATGGCGGCACGGCTGCCAACGTGATGAATCAAAAAGTTCACTGAATAACGGCCATTCGGACTTTTTCCACAGGGTGATTCTGAATAAGTTCCTCCCGCTCTAGCTTGGCTCTAGGAAATATGGAAGTATGTATTAGAAATCCCTGAAGCTGCGTGTCGTACGATATCTAATGCTTTTCTATTGAATTCGTCCATCATTTGATTTTCTTATGACAGCGGAAATTAAAAGATAAAAAATACGCTCAAAAGTTTTATTCAAAAGCATATAGCGTTATGTCCTTTTCCTCTTGTTTTCCTTTCGGCTGGTCGAATTGATACTCCAGAAGTCGCTTTCTGGGTTCCTCCGCTTCGAACATTCGGCCGCTTTGCGACTGTCCGCGTCTTGTCGATGTTCGGGAGTCAACTTTTGGCATTTCTCAGCTTTAGCGTCCTCAGGAGGTACTAAAAAGACTAAGCCCAGAGATTAGAGATTCTTCCTGGGATCCTCAGTGGTCTTAGTTACCTTCTTCTGCCGCCTGGTCACACTTCGAAGGGCTAGGAAACTTAGTGCTAGAAGGACCAGAGAACGCAAGAGAAAATGAGTCGAACCATCCCACTGAAGAAGTCCGAGGCAAGGCGTAATTATGCCCCTCAAAAGTATCTCTGTGTCGTGCTTCCTCCGAAAGAAATGTAGGAAACAAAGAATCTTGCTCACGGTTTTCCTCCTGCTTTTTAAGCCATTTGGCGAAAAGATCTCGCGTTTCCTTTGTCAAGGCCCTTCGATTCCTCTGTCACTATACATAATTAAAGGGTTTTCGTTTGTTGCTCACGACTGACCGAACAAAACTGATAAGAATTGGGCCAATTGAACACTGTCGTTGACTTTTGAGTTGAAATTGCTGCAAATATGAATAATTTCAGTGAAATTATCACTTAATTCGGATTTAAAGCATTTTTCCTTATTCAGGATCATGTTCAGGCGCTCTGTGGTCATAGTGGAATAAATTCTGGTGGGAAAATGATCCCTGAAATTGCCTTTGCTGCAAGCGGCAGTGAAAAGACCTAAGAGATTTTCTGCACAACTTCAAAAAAGCCAAGAAAAAAGCAGAATTCTGAAAATAAAACCTCCCTAATATTGCTTATTCCACTCTTGATTGTAGAAGCGCTTCTCTTAAATTCTCTTATATTTTTCTACGCCAGAGAATTGTCTGGCAGGATTGCTGGTCTTATTTCTATTGCAGATATTGTAAGGGCAGTTTGTGAAGCTGTCATGTGTATTTTGGCCGCCGGAGGTGTTTTTAGGAGACAAATCAATTAAGATAGTTCAAAATAGTACAAAATACTTGTAGATCACACAAAAGACTTTCACGGAATCACGAGAAGTTAAAGGTAAGACATTGAAATTATGCTAAATTCAGTTAATCGCAGAAAGTATACTTATTTTTAGGTTATCCCGGTTATCTGTTTATTGTGAGTCGAAGAAGATTTCTAGTATAAAATGGGCTCTTTGAGTGCCGGACTTGATCTCTGTCGAAGAATCATGCGGAGATTCCCGAGGAATATTTCTTTCAGCTTCGCTTATGGTTCTGGTGTGAAGTCACAGATTGGGTATGAGAAGAAGCAGCTCAACGACAATATTGTGGACTTGATTCTGTGCGTGGACGATGAGCGAATGCAGGATTGGCATCGAGAGAACATAGAGATGAATCCCAGGGATTACTCAGGACTAAAGGCTCTCGGGGCGTCCACAATTACCAGATATCAGACATCAATTCCCGCCAAAGTGTACTGCAATACGCTGATTCCCGTGGAAGAGGAGGGAATCACCATCAAATACGGCGTGACGCGAAAGTCAGATTTGATCAGAGATGCGACAGAATGGACAGATTTGTACCTCGCAGGACGTCTGCAGAAGCCTGTGCAATTCCTACACGAGCCGCCGAAGAAAGTGAAGGAAGCTCTGGAGAGAAATCTACAAACTGCTCTCACAGTTGCTCTTCTCCTGCTTCCGGAGAAATTCACGAGCTTCAATCTCTTCCACACGATCGCCGAGTTGAGTTATTCCGGTGATTTTCGCATGGTTTTCGGAGAGAATCCCAACAAAGTGAAGAATATCGTGAAGCCTCAATTGGAGTCCTTCCACAAGCTCTACTCGCCTTTTATTGTCCAGCAACGCGAGTGGCTTCAATGTCCAGAAAGCATCGGCGGAATGTATTGTCAGGACAAATCTGAGAGAATTGTGCTTGATCAGTTGAAATCCATCCCTTTTGTGTATCCAGCGACAGCATTGAGTGTGCGCTTGAGGGAGGATTACAGAGAGCACTTGAGGAATATCCTGCGATCGAGAGTTTTCCGCTCAAGTGCTCTGCAATCGCTGAAAAATATCCCAACCGCCGGTCTAGTCAAGTCCTTAAAGTATAGTTACAAGAAAGCACTGAAGACTTTCTCAAAGTGATCCAGAGAATAATAATGCAAATATGTTTTATAAATGCAAGCAGAAGTAGAAGAATACAGAGATTTTTTATTAATACAGTGCTATTTTTCTATTTCTTCCCTTTTTTAGTGGACAAAAATGGATGAGGACGATGTTGCTTTTGGTCCTGCGTTGCCTCCGCATTTGTTGAAGACGTCCGGAAGTGCTGCAGAACAGAGAATTGTTGGTCCAAGCATGCCGCCGGACTTTAGACCATCAGAGGCAGGAAACGCGATTGAAGACACTCAATCAGATGAAGATGATGACGATGAGGTGACAATTGGGCCATCAATGCCAGGAGAAGTGCTCAACAGTCGTTCCCAACTGGAATTGGAAGAGCGCGCGCTGCAAATGAAGCTGAATGCGCTGGAAGGAGCGACTGGAAGTGCATCATCGGAAGTGCAGAGTCGAGAAGAGTGGATGACTGAGTTGCCTGAAGTTCGGAAGCTGTCTCACATGGGAATAGGACCCAGACAATTTCGACAGAAAGAAGGACCAGACTTTTCCGACAGGTAAAAAGCACAATCTAACGAAAATCCGCCATTTTGAAAACCCCTAAAACACATTTTCCTTATTTGCTCAGTCTCTATAGCGTGCATAAGCCCCAAATTTTAGTATGTTGTAACTGGCCTCTAAACACTCCCAACGCATCGCCACTTAAGGATCTAGGACCTTGTAAACCCTAGAAATTAGGGATCAAAATTTGGAAATTAAAATCACCATAACTCCGCTTCTAATTAACCGATCGGAATAATTTTGAGTTCATTGGAAAGATCTCTTCAAATGCCATTTCCCACTCAAGCAACACAATTTGATAGAACCACCGCTAGGGGCGCCAAAGTTGCAAAAAGAATTTTCTAAAATTTAAAGCGATATAACTCAAAAACGAGATGATGCATTTTCTTTAAATTTTAGTATGTTGTAACTGAGATCAAGACCTTTCCAGCAAATCGTTATATGTAAGGATTGAGATTACAGGAGCGGAGATATGGACGGTCAAAGTTCACACTTTTACAGGCTCCTATCTCCACTGTTTACTGACTGATTTCGCTCATCTCTTCACTTAAAGACGTATCTCGGCGTCCTTTAGTAGGCTGCATCCACCATCAGTCTGTGACGTCATCAGTGACACCGCCATGTTGATTTAACTTTGAACGCCTGTATCTCGGCAACTAAACGATGCATTCGAATAAGATTTTAGTATGTTGTAGTCCAAGTCAGGACGAATCTAAAATCAGATTATACCTTCCCATGGAAGTAATAGAATCGGAGTTATGGCGGTTTAAAGTTTTTGTTTTAAAATGTCCTAAAACTTTGATTCTTTTGTTGTCTCTAAAATTCTACATAAAGCAACGCATTTTCACTTTTTTTTGCTTTCTTTCAAGATCATCTTGGACAGATACACCGCAAGGAAAGGCAGAGAAGAGTAAAAGCAAAGAAGGACCTTCGAGTACTGTGATATTTGAGCAAAAGAGGGTGAAAGAACACGACAAGGCGATGGAGAAGTTGAAGAAGAAGCACGAGAAGGAGCACAAGAGGAAGAAATCCCTGCTGGAAATGCATCAAGAAGCGAGAAAGAAGAAAAAGGTAGTGTCTTTTATTTACAAGCTCGTCAAAGAGGTGGATTCTTTATAAATTACATACAATTTTTTAACAAGGACAAAAAGGTGAAAGAAGAAAGACGAACATTCAGTCGAGAAGTGGATTTGGCTGTGAATAAATTTGACGAGACGAGAAAACAGGCAGCAATTAAGAAATCCCAGCAGTTGAACAACAGATTTTCCGCAGGATCAAGTAAATTTCTCTAACATTAATGCTCATAATCAGTCAATTTGGGGGATCTAATGTGAAATGCAAAGGATACAAAAATGAATTTGGAATAAATGATTGACTTTTATCGCTGCGGTGGAGGTTTTGGCTTTGGCATCTTATTCAGTAGTTCCTGTATTTCCTTCTTCTCATCGTAGTTCTTCCACAGCTCGAACAGATTCACGATGATCCTCGCGATTTCCTGCACTTTGTCCATATCGACATTGAGTTCGGCAAACCAGCCTTTCTGGTCCTTCTGCAGGATCACACAGGCGATCTGAAGGCATCCTATTGCAATCTGCAAAAGGGACATTGGGTTAGCAAGGCTCCCGAGGGGCTGGGAGAGGCGGATTCCCACCTGATAGGGGGGATAGAGAAGGCTCACGTCTGTGCGCAAGGAGTCATTGATGATGCGCCACGTGAGCGTGAGCAGCTGCTCCTCCTGCCCAATGTCCTGAATCAACTGCAGGAGTGGCCGATAGGGCTGATACACAATCAGGCAGCAGTCTAGATTCTCCAGCAAGTAGAATTCACACTCCAGAATGTGATTTGTCCTGTAGGGAAACTCCTGGTGGTATGCGAAGCTGAACTTGTTCTTGATCACGGTTTGACACGTCGAGATGAGTCGTGAGTTGGAAATCACACCGAATTCCTCCACTTTGGACGCCAGGAAGATGCATGTGGGCGCCAGCAGGAGTGGATCGATGCACTTCAGGGAGTTCCGGGCGTAGAATCTCTTAAAGTACACCGTTGCCGTGGCAATGACTTGCTGGCGAATCTTCAGCGTCTCGCCGAGGATTTGTATGAGATTCGAGAAGAATATGAACACCTTCTGGTACTCATCCTCCGTGAGGATTTGCAAATCATACTGCCTCTCCCGTATGAGATCCTGCTTATCCAGAATCCACTGCTGATTGTGAGAACTCTGCCAAAAGTTTCCAGCCATTTTTCACTCTTTCGCTCTCCTCGTCAAAAACAAATAAAACTGACACATCGCGGGATGTGCGAAGTTCAGGGATCGGCATGAAGAGGGAGAACTCATCGAATCGTTAAGTTTTTTGGGCCTTTAAACTTTTCTGGGATAAGAGAAATGTCAAATGCTTGACCGTTTTTCGACACATTTTCCCATTTCTTCGGCAAATATTTGATTTTCCCTCCCAATTTTCGCCCATGCAAGAGATTTCGCGGAGAAACGGAGAAAATCGCAGTGAGATATTTGAAGATAACATTTGTTTTTCGCTCAAATTGTTTGAAACATCTCGTACAATTTGCCGTTTTTAGACGAGCTGTCATCTGGCATCAGTGGAAGTGAGAAGGCAACAGACCATCGAGCGTGAGTGAGAAGAGGACGCACAGCGTGGACTCTGTGCATCGCATTCACATTTCAAATACAGTTTCTTCGGACTCTCGAGTGGCGACAATTTTCTCATCAGCTTATTATTTGGCGTGTTTTTTTAGTCCCTTTGTAATCAATTTTACTAGCTGTTCTACACGTAAAAACTCTGTGGCAGTGCTTGTCTATTAATTAAGCTATTTAGTTACACTGGAAAAATGACCTCAGCTCGGAAAATTGATGTCAACACCGCAACTGACGACATTCCTCTGGAATTGTATGATGCTTCCACGAAAATCAAGTATCAGCGGGCCAGATATTTCGGAAAGGTATGGAAAATTGCTTCAATTGATCGTGCAATTATTTGTAAATGTGCCGAGCTTGGTTTCGCGATGCCAAAAGATGTAAAATACCTGGAAATTGACCACAAAGTTCGCCATGCAATTGTTTAGCCCATTGCCGGCCGACTTGTTCTTTGCCCCGGAAAAAAGAGAAGAAGAAAAAATGCATCTTCAGTGCCTAAAATCCCGTTCTCGCCATTTCATTCTGCACACTCTTCGTTGAGCCCCAAACAAGTTTTCTTTTAATGATTGACTGCGACATGAGGTCCTGCTGAATGATGTAGAATTAACCTTTGCAAGGCGCTTTGCGTCCCACGTTTTTCCTTGAGAGCGTGTGTGAGCGAGAAAGGATTTGATCTTGCGATGTGCGACAACTTGAGGACAATCGCAGGAAGAGTCAGAAGCTTTGATCACAAGTTCATGAAATGAAATCATTTCTGGAGAATTAATTAATTAAAATATTAGAAGCAGAAGGAAACCTTTGATAAATGAAGGATTAAGATTAAAAATTAGTGAAATGTACGCTTTTCCAAGAAATACAGCTTGAGATTTCTTCAAATAACCATAAAACTACCCTTAAGTTTCGTTATCTCAAATCGTTCTCAATCGAAAAGGCTCAAGAAAAGAATATTTATTTAGTTTTGAGAAACTTTAAAACATTAAATTTATCATTTTGATTGGCGTTGAGACAAATTTAGATGAATAAACGAGAATAAATTGAAAATTTCACCTTAATATCGTTTTTTAGAATGCTAATATTGCTCTAAAATAATTATTTTGTGAATGTTTCAATTAATTTTATTGGATTTTTTAAAACTTTGACCAAAATATGGCTAAATGAAATAGTTTTCAAACTCGATTTTTAATAGCTTTTGAATATGTTTTATACAAATAAGTTTTGAAAAATCAACTTTACTGTATTTTACGTGAAGTTTTTTCAAGGTTTTTAAGTGAAAAAATTCAAAAATATCACAAATATTAATGAAAATTTAAAGTCTTGGAATATTTTAGGAAAATCTTTGAAAATCTAGAATTATTATGTTTATCAAAAAGACCATTTTATGCGATTAAAAGCAATTTAATTTCAAAACTGTAAAAAAATCGACTTTTCACCTGTCAAAATTGAAAATTTACCGTAAATATCGCTACGAAATTTGTCTAATTTACTTCAAGACCAACAAAATATCTTCTAATTGTCCGTCAAAATTTTTTTTCCTAATATTCCAGTTGATTTTATTGGTGTTTATTAGAATTTATTGAAGAAAACTAGAAATATTTCTTTCCAACTTTGATTTTTTATAGTCTTTCTCTACATTTCATCTCAAAAAACCTCTGAAAAATCAACTTTTGCAAATTTAAAAGTGCAAAAAGTCTCAATTAAATCTCTATGATTTCTAGGTGTTGAATTAATATTTATTCCAAAGTCTTTTTAGTAATTTTATTGATTGGAAAATTCCGTTTTTGCAGGGCGGATTTGCGAAGTGCTACGAAATAATTGATGTCAGCAACCACAAGGCGTATGCCGGCAAGGTGGTGCCGAAGAAGTTGATGGTGAAGGAGAGCCAAAAGGAGAAAATGACTCAGGAAATCGCCATTCATAGATCTCTGAATCACAAGAATATTGTGCAGTTTCACAGCTTCTTTGACGACAAGATCAACATTTACATTGTGCTGGAATTGTGCCAGAGGAGAGTGAGTATTGAGAGAATTTCCACCTTTTTCCACACATTCTCAGCCTCTTTTCCTTCTCTTTTCTCTCTCTAGTCTATGATGGAACTACATAAGCGTCGGAAATCGATAACGGACTTTGAGTGTCGATACTATATTTATCAAATTCTACAAGGACTGAAATATCTGCATGATCTCCACGTTATTCATCGTGATATTAAACTGGGAAATTTATTCCTAAATGAGGAAATGACGGTGAAAATTGGCGATTTTGGCTTGGCCACGAAGATTGAGTTTGAAGGTGAGTTGATTTGCTGACCTTTGTTGGCTTGCGAAGGTCCTGATTGTGTTTCTTATTTACTTTTCTAGGACAGAGAAAGGAGACAATCTGTGGCACGCCAAACTACATTGCGCCCGAGATCCTGAACAGGAAGGGACACTCGTATGAGGCAGATATCTGGTCTGTTGGATGCGTTATGTACACGCTGTTGGTTGGACGGCCACCGTTTGAGACGAAATCCCTCAAAGATACTTACTCCAAAATCAGGAAATGCGAATACAAGTGCGTATTATGAGAGAATATTTCCACGAGGGCCTCGAAAAATAGTCTTCAAAAGAGCAATTTGGAGTCTGAGACTTGAAATTGCTTCGAAATTTGACCAATTTTCACCCTTATTTTCCATTAAACTGATTATATTGGTCAATTTCAATTTTTTCAATTGAAAATATTTAGTACAGAAAGTCGTTTTTTGATCATTTTCGTGATTTTTTTTTTCAAACAATTCATTAAAATCTTCTTTAACCGATAAATTGGTAAAGCGCAGTGAAGAAACCACATTTTTGTGATCTTTTTCTATAAAGAAAACCTTGGATAAATTAAGAGAATGCAAGAGAGTTCTTTTCAAAATTGTTATGTGTTTTTAGCTTGTCAAATAATGATTTTAAGATGTTTTTTTTCGAAAAAAACAATCTGATTTTATTCCAAATTTAGAGAATTCGCTGAATTTTTGACTTAGATTTTATATTTCATCATGAAAAGTTATGTTCAATCGTGGTTAAAAGATGAATGATATAAAATAGATTTAAGGGTGCAAAACAACTTGAAAAGTATAAGTAAAAATATCCAGAAGATTTAATATTTCTCTTATAATTCCATCAAATATCGACTTTTAATGTCGCTCAGAGCGAAAAGTACGGCGTAAACTATCAAAAGTCGGCTTTATGTACTTTATTGGTCGTTGCAGCTTTACAGATTTCGTATTAAAGTTCGTAAAAGCTACCAATTTGGTGTTGCAACTTTACGCTTTTCATAGCTTACATTGGCGACCGTCCAGTGGCGCTAGTGTAAAGTACGACTGAAATACGAACGAAAAGCCGTTGCAAAACAAAGTTGGGAGTTTATTTAATGCGAATTTCAACTGTCAAAAAGCCATTTCTTTTTCTCAACATTTGAGATGCGACTTAAAGAGTAATTTTAAGGGCAAATTATTCTAACATGCGCCCAGTTTTTAGCCATTTTCATCAAACTTTACGTAAGGAAATGATTATTAGTGTTCTAAACTAATGTTTTCTAACAAATAACCTCAATCTGGTGCATTGAAATGTGCACAAATGAACAGATAAATGCAATAAATTTGTGTTTATGAACCAGAAAACTTCAATATCGTCTGGTTTATTGATCTTGCTTAGTAAAATTATTAGTGACATTAGTAAAAGTTATGAATGTCTAACTTGCATTTGAAGTTTTACGAATTAATAACTTTGACAGCTCCTTTTAATATATGTTATTAAATTAAAGTTGCAACGATTTCTTAGTCTAATATTTCCAAGATTTTTTTTAAAGAGTTTTCGAGGAACTCGTCGATTTGTCTATGATTCATATATTGAGATTAACACTGAAATGTTGTGTTTTCCGTGTAGAATTCCAAATGTCTTGAGAACAACTTCTGCTGACATGATTGTGGCGATGCTGCAATCGCAGCCATCGAAGCGTCCGAGTGTTAACAAACTCTTCCGCTTTGAGTTCCTCATGAGCAATCCGATTCCCGTGTCGCTGCCCACCTCGTGTCTCACCATGCCGCCGCGGGCTGATCAGCTGGAGTACATTGAGAGTGTGGGCAATCGCAAGCCACTGTCGATGGTGAATGGCGTGATCTCGACGGCTGTCGCTGCCATGAAGGCGTCACACAAGCCGAGTCCACAGAAGGAGCAGATGAAGATGGGTCCGGCGTATCCCAATGATAAGGCGTATCATCGTGATGTGCGTGAACTCCAGAGGGATCTGCACGTGCTGCTTGCGGAGCTGGACAAGAAGCCGAGCAAGACGAATGCTGTGATGACGCTGGAGAACACAGATCCGGCGTCTCAGCCAATGTATTGGGTGTCCAAGTGGGTGGACTACAGCGACAAGTATGGCTTTGGCTACCAATTGTGCGATGAGGGTGTGGGTGTCCTGTTCAACGATGCGACCAAATTGATCATCCTCAGCAATGGAATGTAAGTTTTTTTTAGACAGACGAGAAGAGATGGATTTCCTCTTACTTCTGTGCGTGTGTGTTTTTGCAGAAATGTCCACTTCATCGATCGCAATGGCGGCGAAACGTACATGACGATGGATCAGTTCCCGCAGGAGATTGACAAGAAGATCAGATTGCTGACATACTTCAAGCGCTACATGTCGGAGCATTTGGTGAAAACGGGAGCGTCAAATGTGACGGAATTCGATGGTCTCTCCAGAGTTCCTCATCTGTATGCTTGGTTTAGGACAAATTGCGCAGTGATTATGTACTTGACAAATGGAACTGTTCAGGTAAATTTTTACACTTACAAAAACTATACGTTCTTGAGCTAAGAAATGAGGTTTTCTTGAAGGAAAGGTCTTGAAATTAGACTTTTTTCGGTATTTTTGGTGCAATTTCATGCTTTTCGATCATCGTTAATTTAAGTTTTTGACTTTCCGTTGAAACGAAATTGATTTCGGTATTTTAATGTGATCTTGAAATTATTTATGACTAAATTAAATTAAGTTTTCGATCTTTCCTTGAACTGAGTCAGATTTCGCATATTAATTATATATTTTTCGCCATTATTTTAAGTCTTTTTAGCCAACTAAATTTGAAATAAGGTTTCCAAAAATGTATTTCAATATTATTATTTACTTGAAATTACTTACGACTAGATTTAAGAATATTTCAGCTTTAATATTCAACCTTATTTTCGACTTAAAATAAGCCTTTTTAGTCACATTGATAAGATATTGAAAAATACTTGAAACAAAGCGATTAAACAGAGCAAGAAAGACTAAAATTCAGTAAATTTGATCATAAAACCAAGTCGATTTTGAAGTGAAAACTTATTAAGAAGGGATTTTTCTTATTTTCTTTCCCGGTTTTTTGTGGGTTTGTGAAAAAACTTGTTTTTAATTTCGTCCAGACGAGAAATAAAATGTTTTTTTTCTACGCTTTTAGACTAAAAACAAGGAATTTTCTTTATAATTTCAAAACATTTTTACGCAGAAAAACAAGGATTTTATCCATGTTTTGTCCTAAGAAGAAAATAATACTGGTTTTAAGGCTGACAAGGACTTGAATTTATATTAAAATTTGGAGTTTTCCCAAGAATTGGGACTAAAGTCAAGGAATAAAAAGACTTAATCGTTTTCTAGCCCAAAAAATCTAGTTTTAAGGAAGAATAAAGACTTGAATGTCGACTTGAAAGTCAAGGAAAACAAGTTATGATTGTGTTTTAACTCGAAAAATGCTGATTTTAAAGAAAAATCAAATCTAAAAAGTCCTAAATTTGTCCTAAAATTTGTATTTTTTATATTTTAAGTCTAAAATCGACTAAATTCTATCCTGATTTTTCTCTCAATTGTGAACTAAATTGTTTTTTGATTTAATTGTACTTCTTTCAGCTAAACTTCTCTGATCACGTCAAGATTATCCTGTGTCCGCGAATGCAGGCGGTGACGGTGATTGAGCCGGACAAGAACTTCCGCACCTACACTTTCACCACAATCCTGGAGAGCGGCTGCTCGGCTGACTTGTTGGGCAAGATAAGATATGCCGCCGAGCGACTTGGGACGTGCTTTGAGGAGCAATAATTAAGTCGCCAGCGTGTCTTCAGTTATGTTTTCTGTGTTCGTGTTGACACTCATAGTCGAATTATTCTCAAAAAGATGGATAAAATAATATAGAAGATAAAGAAGAACAAGTCTGAAGACTGATTTCGGCTAAAACAAGAAGATTTGATGATGTTGAAGATGGAAGAAATTGAACATTTTGAGATATATAAAAATTGTCCATTTGCCACTTAGAAACTCACGACGTCGATTAATATTCTAAGGAAGCTTGATGTGAAGATTAAGTAGAGATTAGGTGTATTTTTTTTTTTTATAAAATTTAGAGAAAGAGAAACAAAGGATTTAAGGCACTTTCACACGGATGGTGAGACGCGCATAAGAAGTAGTTGTAGATTTTTTGTGTAAGATTTTTTTCATTTTGCAACCTTGTTTTTCATTTGCATGTGAATTTCCTTTGTAAATGAAAAAGATGCGGTTGATGAGCTCAAAATATTTTTGGATGATAAGAGAAGAGAGATAAAAAAGAAAGAAGAAAAACGACATCAAATTAATTTTTCTAGGGGGAAAAGATACAAAGAGAAGATTGACTAAATTTTAAAAAGTTTGTTATTTTTATTCAATTACATATACATATATATATATATTCTGATGAACTGTAACTTTCCTTATTATTTTCTTTTTCTTTTCCCTATTCATAAAAGTATATGACTACATTCAAGCTTTTTTTTTATACAACTATAGATACACATTACAATAAATTATCCTAAACAAGTAAACGTATTTTTTTTCTTCATGTAATTTGATTAATTTTCTGTTTTTCCTCCATGAAAAATCTTGTTTCTTTTCTTCTTTATTAGTTTTTTTTTTATAATTCAAAGAATCGGAACACGTAAATTCTCAAAAAAATCATCTACAAACAGCGTTTTAAGTGCAGCAAAAAGTCAAAATTTGTATAATTCCGACGAAAGAGATGCGAAGATAATTTCTTTAATCGGCAAATCTTTCATCTCTTTTTTTGTACACTTTATGTAACCTTCAGGGTGTGAAGTGCAAGAATTGCTGGGCTTTTGATCAATTTGGCGGGGGAAATTAATAGCATTTTGGGGGTGGCGGAATATATATTTTCATTATATGTTTTGCTGAAGAGCAGAAAAATTCTTTTTTTGAGGGAAATTCCCAAAACGAACGTGAAAGAGTAAATATTTCAATGTTTTAAAATTCTCTTTTTACAAAAAGGATAAAATCTAAAGGCTGACAAAACTATATATTATTTAATTATATTCTATTCTCTCATTCTTTCTCTGATTTGTAATGAATTTTCTTCTTTTCTTCTTCTTCTGCACAAAAAAAACAATCTCGCGTGCCAATTCTCTCTCTCTCTCTGCCTTTCTTTATCCACAATACATGTTGGTGTTGTGCGGCTGCTGAAACTCATTGACAGACTTGGGATTTGTGTTGAAGTAGTTCGTGTGACACCATTCGACAAACAGATCAATCAGCACTGGCCACGCACCCTCGCAATCGTAATTTGTCATATTATCGTCGATCTGTATTGCAAAATCCAAAAGCAAATTCCACGTGTCCCGCGGAATTGATCTCTTGTGGTGCTCCTGCGGAAGAGAAAACAGAGTGGAGAGAGAAAGTTTTAGTCAAAAATGTGTGATTTGGACTGTTGATTTGCCACAGAGCGTCGAGTTTCGCGTCAAGATCTTACAAATTTTGTGTTTCATAACAGTTTTTTTTTCATTAATAAATCAACGAAAATAAACTCGATGCGAATCATTAAACAATTGGGTCAATTCCCACTAAAATTGGGGAATGTTAGACATGTGTTACCGTCTTAGCACACATGGTCGATTTTCAGCTGAAAATATAGTCTCAATTGAATGCAATGCGTTCAGTCAGTGCTTTTTTCTGCACAGTTTGGTCCATTAATGCGTCGTTGTAACTTTACATTCATATCATTTTAAATAAGCTGTCAAAAATATGAATTAATATAAAAGCTGTTGCAAGATTACAATTCATAACATTTACAAAAGTGGGGAATTTATCTTCTGCGAGTTCTTTGAAACGTTAAACATAATCTGGATTTTTCTGGCAATTTTTCTACAATTTTTGCACATTTCAATGCACCAGATTGAGGTTATGTGTTTCTGGACATTCCTAACACGGAAAAATGCTCTTCACTTTCACTGAAGAACATTTTCTAACTTCCACATGGAAGAAAATGACTAGAAACTGGACAGAAGTTGAAATATTCTGCCCTAAAAAGATCCTCAAAGAGCAAATCTCGCATTTTTCAGCTGCTCAAAAAGAACCGCAATGAAATAACTTTCTGACAGCTGAAATTCGTATTAAATTAACTCCCAACTTCGCCTTGCAAGGCTTTCTCGGTCGTACTTTTGATTAGCGCCGCCAGGCGGCCGTCAATATAAGCAATAAAAATCATAAAGTTGCAACTTCGAATTGATAGCTTTTATGAAGTGGAATACGAAATCCGTTACGAAATCGAACTTTCATCGATTAACAGAACATTTTTACACTTCTTTCTGACAGTTTGAACTCAATCTATTGTGGAAAAGTGTTCACAAGAGAGGAAAATGTGACAGAGAAACCAGAATCTGTGAACTCGTTTTAGGATTATTCCTCCAATTAGCGTTTAAAAACCAGTCTTTGCTATTCTAAACCACACTTGAGAGGCCTAAAGTTGCGATTGTGTTAAAAATCATACCATTTTTCTTGCTTCACACATTTTGATATCGCTTAAAACTCAATAACACTGTTTTAGCGAGAATAGGAAGTGTGATTTTCCTTATTCATCTCGAATGTTAATCTTCTACATGTTTGAAATTTAACATTCTTCAGTTTTAGTGAGAATCGCTCCAAGTATTTAGCAAAAATTGATCGACGATTTTCTAATTTCTTAGAAAACAGCTGATTTTCTTCTGGAAAAGCTCTGCATTTGGCATTTTCAGCGCGAAAAGCGGCTTGAAAGTGTTTATTTTGCTGTTGGGCCAAAGAAGATCTTGAGAGTTTCTTTACTCACCGTGAGAAAAGTGCACCAGAGATCGAGGAATTTGAATTTTCCCTGCAACACGATGTTCCAGTACGCGATCGCCATGTCCAGGCCCAGGCCCTTCTGGCCCTGATCCTTGGCGTAATTGAATGTGAACTGGTAGAAATCTTTGAACTTGTTAGAATCCTTGAGATCATTCTCCAGCAACGGCAGCTTCGCCTTCAGCTTCTCTATACTATCTACACCCAGATCGTAGAAGCCGTTGCAGAACTCGTCCCTGCTGAACTCGCACTGCGTCTCCGCGCGGAACTTCCAGGCGATGATCAGGACGAGCTTCGAGTCGGGCGAGAGGCGAAGGTCGTCCAGGAACTTCATCACGCCATCCGAATTGATTTTGTTGGGGTCCCCGGGATCGCGGTATCTGTAGTACAGCTGCTCGATCTTGCTCCTGTCCAGCTCCCGGTAGTACAGATCGGGATTCTGGAAGTAGTTGTCGCTGGCCAAGTCCAACTTCCACTCATTGTGACTTAAACAATATATTGCTGTTGACTCTCCGGTCTGCGTGAGCGAAATGAATTTCTTCACTTTGTCTCTTTGGGCGGATTTTAATTTATTCTGCGGAAGAAATGGAACAACATCAGCCGGATTAGGGAGCAAAAATTATTCATCTGCCTCGCAGAGAAAGTCCTTTTTTCTGCAAACAAACAAACTACGGCCGTCAGAGACACTGAATATCTCCAGCTGCGCCACCCGGAAACCTCTCCTGCCACGCTATTTCTGTGGCGAGGAATCTCGGGGTGGGATTGAGAGGGAGAAGCTACACTTATTGCCTAAATATTTACCATTTTACAAAAGAATTTAGCGAATCAAAGAACACCAAAACATCAACTTTGACATCTCTCTCGCTGGAGGTTGTCAAAAATTATGGCACGTCAACCCTTCAAAAACTGTCTCACTTGACTTTCGACTGCCTGTTGACAGACATTTCCTTCGATTTGTCTGCAGATTTAAAAACTGCAAATCTGAAGCCAGCGGATTGCAAATCGTCTAAAGCACGCCGATTTTTTGTTTTTTGAGAAATTGTTCCCAGTTTTTCATGGTTTTCAGTATCATTAGAAGTCAATAAATGCCCAAAAATATCTATTTATTGCCATTAAATGCTTTTAACAAAAAGAAAAAGCTTTAAGTTCTCTGCGCAAAATATATCATAAAAAAGGTTCAAACTTCTACATTTCTTCTTAACTACAAGATATATTTCGAAGAATGGATTTCGGCTGGAATGGAATTTTGACAGCGAATCGTAGCGAATGAATTGAGGAATATTATAGAAATTTGAGGAATGGAAATCACTTTTCTCCCACTTGAGTTTCTCTCTCTTTCGAAATTGACTCCGCTGTGTTGTATTTGTTATGTCATAATCATCTGTTCGCGAGTTTTTCCGGGTGAAGTTTCTTTTCCAAGAGAAATCTCGCAATGCCATCAATAATTGGGGGTGAATTCTTGAGACAAGAGTCTCTGGCCATGGAGCCATGGGTTGACGCAGAGTTGTATCAACCATACGAGGCGGAAACCATCTTGCTTCCGGAGAACTCAAGTTGCTTGGCTGCAAAAACCTATCTTCGGGTGAGATTTTGTGTATTTTCCTCCAAATCCACGCTATTGCTAATGTGCTCAAGATGTTCCTTCCAGATGTGCAATTTGCCCTTTGAGGTGAAATTTGCACCAAATGCAGAATTTATGTCGTCCGGCGGGAGAACAACAAAGCTTCCCTTCTTCCGTGTTGGCGCCTTTTTCACATCGGAATTCGAGCCCATCGTGAATCTGGTGGAGAACAAAGGCATCAGTCTCACTGAGAACCTCACGGAGGATGAGAAATCTGATGCCAGGGCATTCTTGGCCCTGACAGAGAACATCTTCACATATGCAGAGGTTGTTTTGGCTCTTTAGACACTTTGTCAATGGAATATTTTCAAGTCTTGGGATTCTCTTCCAAAGTTATTCGTCAGCTACATGGATGAGGATGTGTTTGAGAACGTGACCAAGCCGCGGACAGCATCAGCATACAATTATCTCCTGGGCATCATCCAGAACTGGCGGAAGAAGCGACACGCATTGAAGCAACTGGAAGTTATGCAGTGGAACGATTTCACAATGGAAGAAGTGATCGATAAAGTCTCCACACTTTGCTCGAATCTGGACGCAAAATTGGGCGACAAGCCCTTCATGTACGGGAACAAGTGAGTTTGAGGAAGACTTTGAAGTGATCAAGAGAAGTATAAATTTATTCCTTTCTCTCCAGTCCAATTGAATTAGATGCCGCTGTGTTTGGCCACCTCTTCACCATCCTGACAACTCCTCTGCCCAACGAGCAACTGGCCGAGACCATTCGTCAGTATCCTGGCCTCGTGAAGTTCTGCCAACGCGTCGAGGCGAAGTACTTCAAGAGCAAGTGAGGTTGAGATGTGTTGAGAGCAGCAGGAAGAATAGAAGCTTTGTTTTTTTCGCAATTAGTAGTTGGTCAATTGGAGGCGAGGCACGACATTCATGCTCGTGAGCTCCTGGAAGAGGAGTTTGCAGGCGTACGGCATGGATATCTTGGACACGCTGGCTGAGGATTTGCAGCTGTGGCACCAGGAAGAGTACGCAAGACGCCCACAAATATTGCAGACATCCACGTCAAAGGCATCGGAGGAGATCATGAGTCTCTCCATTATCAGCATGCTGGAAAAGAGACAAGCAGAAATGAGTCTTCAACGCTTTGCGAAGGCATTCAGCGCTGGTATTCTCGAAATGTAAAAACTGTGAGAGATTTTTGACGGTAAAAGCATTTCTAAAGTGAGAGATTTCGTCAATCCATGAGAAATATCTTCTCCAGTGGTTTTCTGTGAGAGATAGCAATGAGCTGGCGCATGAATTCAATAGATTCATCCCAATTTCTGGCAAAAATGCCAATAAATATTAAGAAATTCTGCCCTCACGGCATTAAATTGCAAAAAAGATGCATTTAAGTGTGCATTGCGAAACATTTCACATAAATATTGTGCTAACCGGGCATTCTTTAGCGGTGAAGAAGATAAATAGATAAATATATCGGACAAATATCCTACGAAATGCCCTTCCATTCATAAACCAATTGAACTCAAATGTAATCTAAAGATCCATCCGCGAATGATTATAATTCATAGAAATAGCAAAGAGTATTGAAAATCGTCAAGAAAAGCCATATTTCTTCAAAAAAAAATGTCAGAATATTGCGAATATTGCCTTCAATATCTTAAGTTTTCCATAAAAAAAAACACAACAAATATCTCTTATTTAAGAGAAAAATACGTAAAAAGTTAATATTATTGACTTTCTTCAGACTATTCACGGCCTTTTTGCGGGTCTTTCAAGTGTGGACTCAGAAATCTCTCACAGAAATGGCAATTTCGAGAATCCCAGCCCAGGCGTGTCTTACCTCGCTCCGTAGGAAATGAGACAGTCTCTCTCCATCTCACCCAATCGCAGGCCACCCTCGCGACTCCTGCCCTGCGTCGGCTGTCGCGTGAGCACAGCCCGTGGTCCTCTGGCACGCGCGTGCATCTTGTCCTGCACCATGTGCTTCAGCTTCTGATAGTACACCGGACCCGAGTAGATATATCCCGTCATCATTTCCCCGGTGGTGCCTGAGTAGAAGATGTCCTTGCCCAAGTAGTTGAATCCATGCTTGAACAGCTCATCCTGCAAATCCTGACACTTTGACCCACCAAATGCCGTGCCATAGTGAAACTTCCCCTCCAACACCGCCGCCTTGCTGCCCAGCAACTCCAACAGCTTCCCCACCGTCATCCGGGAGGGAAATCCATGTGGATTCATAATCATATCCGGTGTTATGCCATAGTCATTGAATGGCATATCCTCCTGCTGCACAATCAACCCCGTGACACCCTTTTGACCGTGACGAGAGCTGAACTTGTCGCCAATCTCTGGCCTTCGCGTCTGTCGCAGCAGGATCTTTATGAGGAAGTCCTCTTCGGCATTCGCCGACACCATCACCTTCTCAATGCAACTCGGCTCGGGGCCTTTGTAGGTAATTGGGGCGCTGGAATATGCCACCGGCTGCTGTCCACCGTCCTTCTGCTCCAGCGGATTTATTGACGCCACCGCGGGCATTTCCTTATTGATCATCACCTGTTTGTTGTGAATCACCTCTCCGGGCGCCACAATTCCGTCCAAATCAAGCGTCTCGTGGCGATAGATGGTCTTGTTGGTGATGGAATCCTTCACGGGACCCATGATGCGATCGAAAGTCTGATTTGTGTACCTCTTCACCGTGCACTTGGCATTCTTGTACACCAAACATCGTCCGTAGCCGCGATCGATGGACGCCTTGTTGAGAATGAGGGCGTCTTCGATGTCGTAGCCGGAATAACTCATCACGGCCACCGTTGCATTTTGTCCGGCGGGCAGTTTGTCAAAGTTCGTCAACTCAATCGTTTTGGTCTTCACAAGTGGCACTTGAGGATAGACAATGTTGTACATCAGCGTGTCAATGCGATTCTTCTGATTATATCCAATGGTTCCCATCGCTTGCTTCCCCATGGCGCACTGATAAGTATTCCTGGGACTCTGATTGTGATGCGGATAGGGAATAAGTCCAGCACACACGCCCAACAATGTGAATGGCTCAATTTCCAGGTGTGTTGTCTTCTCCGTGATCTCCGATTCATAGCACGCAATGTAGGAGTCATTCTCCTCATTCACGTCCAAATACTCAAGCAGACCCTCGTGAATGAGATCAGCAAACTTCCTCACGCGCCTCTTGATGTCATTGATGTGCTCTTGCGTCATCAGTGGCTTCCCATTCTCCACAATTATGTACGGCCGACAGAGCCGTCCGCCGTCGGTGTGAATGTAAACGCATCGCTGAATGTACGATGTGTGGATGGAGACGAAGGCTCCAATCAAACCACGACGTCTGACCATGCGGAACACCCTCACGATGCGCTCCGGCTTGTTCGTGGCGCCCAAGATGTTGCCATTGATGAAGACCATGAAAGTGCTCGGGTGATTGATGGCATTGCCAGAGAGAAGCCGAACATCTTCCACGCCTGTGTTGAAGGCAAATCTTATGATCGGCTCCTCGTCAACCTCCGTCGTGATGTGCGTCATCAGAGCGAGATTCTTCACCAGGCCACAAGCCTCTCCCTCCGGCGTGTCGCATGGACAGAGCTTTCCCCATTGGCTGGGCTGCAGTGATCGCGGACCAGACACTTTCCGTGTCTTCTCAAACTGCGAATTCACGCGCGTCATCATGCCCAGGGCGGAAATGTAGCTGAGACGAGAGAGAACTTGCGTCACTCCAGCGCGTTCCATCTTGAACCGCTTAATTGTCCAATTTCCCGACGAGATCGCCGTCTCCAGTCCGGCTGTGATTTGAGCCGCTCGCATGTGCTTCACCACATCGAACTGCGCCGCCTTGATTTTGGGGATGTTCTTGTCGGCGATCATCTTCAGCTCCCAGTTGAAGCGCTTAAAGAGATCCTCAAACATGAGCGACAGCAGTGAACCCGCCAATTCCAGTCTCTTGTTCCCGTAGTAGTCACGATCGTCCATCGAGGCCTTGTTGAGCTCAGCTTCCATCACTCTGCGCACCATCACGGATACGTAGAGAGCTTTCATGTAGAAATTGAAATTCTCCACAGGAACATGAGCCAGGATTGTCGTTGCCAGCAATTCGCGAGCCTCCTCGGCGGGTGTTTTGACTTTGGTTGTCTGGAATCTCTTCACCATCAATTTGCCGCCCATGTACTCAAGCGCCTGCTTCTGCGTGATCACATTGAGCTTCACGACTTCGTACAGAGACGCGGCGAATCTCTTCTGTGTGCTCTGCTGGCTGCCAATCAGCTGAACGATCTCCTGATCTGAGATGATTCCCAGCGCACGGAAAATTATGACAATGGGAATATCCTGCAACAGCAATTGCACTCATAAAATACCATTCCAAAGGACATGATAAGTAAACGCTTATCACCGCCTCTAGCGGTGATTAGATAAACTTCTGTTGTTCTAAATAGTCGTAGAGTTTTGTAAGATCTTCCCAACGAGCCTAAAACCATTATGATCGGATAAATAGAACCGAAGTTGAAGCGTATTTAAAATTAAAACTTTAAACCGTCCAAACTCCGGTTCTATTATTTCCATGGGAAGTTATAATCTGTAATTTAGAAACGTCCTGACCTGAACTATAACATACTAAAATCTTATCAAAATACACTATCTAATTGCCGAGATACAGGCGTTTAAAGTTTTTTTTTCATATGGCGGCGTTCGTGATGACGTCACAGACTAATGGTCATTGCGGCCTACTAAAGGACGCCAAAACACGTCTTTTGATGACGAGATGATCGAAATTGGTCGGTGAAAAGCGGAGATATAGGCCGGTAAATGTGTGAAATTTGACCTTTGATATCTCCGCTCCTAAAACGCCGGGCCCTACAAATAGGGTATCATTGGAAAGGTCTTGACCTCAGCTACAACATCCTAAAATTTAGGCCCGATCTATGCCATAGGGGCTGAGTAAATTGAGAAAACTTTTTTTAGGTGTGTTCAAAATGGCGGTCAGAGGTGTGGATTCTAGCGACAGTAGAATTTCTGACAAATCCATTTACGAAGCACGGACGGAACCCTAAACATGACTCCCTTTTCCTTCAGATTTTGTCATTTTAGTGGATTTTGCGGCATTTGATTTCACTGGAATTCTCACCTCTGTCATTGAGTTGTGCTTCAAATAGTACTTCCCCTGCTTGGTCAGCACAATTGTCCGGGACTTCTTCTCATGCGTGGAACTGGTGACTTGACACTGAAGCACACCGTTGTAGTCTTCCGTGATCATCTTGTTCCATGACAATTGCTCCTGGATGAGAATGACCTTCTCCTGTCCGCGCACGACAAAGTAGCCGCCCGGATCGTGAGGACACTCGTTCATCTTGGACAGCTCAAACTCCGTCCTGCCGCTGAGGACGCAGTTGGAGGATCTCAGCATGATTGGCATCCGGCCGATCAGCAGCTTGTTCCGCACGACTCTCTGGCTGCCGCGCGTGTACTCGATGTCCACCGTGATGGGCGCGGAGTAGGTCATGTCGCGCAGGCGACACTCGTGAGGCGTGGTCTCCTTCGTGATGTTGAAGCCATCGTCCACATCCGGCTTCCCCACGTAGATATTGAGATATTTCAGGTAGAACATAGGGTCAGCATCGCTGATGACCTTATTGTTCGCCTGCACAATTTTCTTAATATCCACGTTGATGAAATAGTTGAAGCTGTCAATGTGCTGCTTCACCAGGCCCTTGATCTCCAGGAAGGACGGCACCAGGAGCCACTTTTCCTGCGAAGAAAGTGCGGAAAATCACAGACTGTCTCTAACCTCAATCTGACGGTGTGCGCTTCTAACTCACCTGGAGAGGCTTTATTGTGTTGTTATGGGAGAATTTCTTCTCCTTATCCTGAGAATCCATCTTAAATGCCATGCCGGCAGCACATTTTATGCCAAAACTCACGTAAAATCAGCGGAAAAGCGATTTTTCACACACGTTGCAGAGACAGAACGACAGCACGCACAACATAAACACCGCGCACGCCACTGAACTGTCAACGGTTGAAGTTGAACTTCGAAGTGAGAGAGAGAGAGAGAGACGGATAGCTGTGACACTCTTGCTCTCTCGCTCGTACAGGTGGTTTTTAAACTTTCACTTTTGCTGTCATTTTTGTGCAAAATTTCTCACGGTTTTTTCGTGAGATTTCCCCATTTTCCCTTAGTTTTAACGATCTGATTTCACCGAGAATTCGAATATGAGTGTCTCTTGAGTTTTATTGTAAGTGATTTGTGTGGAATCTTTGAGATTTCAACGAGAAATTGGCGAAAGAGTTTTCAGGGTCAATCATGCTCATAGTCTGAGTAATTGGGGTGGAAAAGTCAATTGAAAATTGCTTTTCTATATCATCCATCAAGTCAATGATGAAGTGTTTTCTGTATATAGTCGTCTGTGTGATCTCTCGTCTCGTCTGGGCGGAGTACATTCCTCCCGGACCGAAGTATTCCTGCCCAAAGAAGTGAGAAATGCGTGTCAAATTCCCGGAAAGACCGTGAAGTAATGCTTATTTCTGTTCCTTATTTGCCAGTGGTCAGGTTCTCTATCCGTGCAACTGCACCCGGGGAACGGACAGTGGTCTGTATGTGATCTGTGAGAACACTAATTTGGCCAGTTTGTCCATCAGCCTGAAGAATTTGGCGTCTCTGGAGAGTCCTGTGGAGGAACTTGTGATCACGAAGAGCAATTTCCGTGAGTTTTTGCCCATCAATTCTCATGTTTTCTCCTTCTAATCTGTTCTGAATCTTAAGGAAATCTCTACGGAACGCTGTTCTACAAGTCCAAGGTTCGAATTCTCAGACTTGAAGACACTCCTATTGAGTACATCGACGAAGGATCCTTCTTTGGCATCAATGAGACACTGCATGAACTCTACATCAGGAACACCTTCCTTCAGGACTTTCCCAAGGAAGCTCTCAATCCTCTGGGATTGCTCACAATCCTGAGCATTGATGGTCACAGGATTGAAACACTGAGCACAGATATATTTGCCAATAGTTCTGCAATTGGCGTCATTGAGCGACTCACGCTGAGCAATGGACAACTTAAAGAACTTCAACCGCAATCATTTCAGGTATTCTTCCAGGCTAATTTTGTTAATAATTCTGCTAAATAGTGTATTTGTTGAATCATTTCAGACACTGAGAAAGCTGAAATTCCTGGATTTACACGGAAATAACTTGACAACACTGAAAAAGGGTCAATTTAAGAATCTGAGGGATGTTGAAGTGCTGGATTTGAGTCACAATTTCATCACCAAACTCGATGCCTCTCACATTTCGGACTTGACCAAGTTGGGATGGTGCAATGTGTCGCACAATCTCCTGAAGGAACTCACGAGGGGAACATTTGCTCGGAATTCTGTACTGAAAGTCCTCAATATGGCTCACAATAAAATCACTCGACTCGATGCGAACAGCTTCAGAGGAATGAGATTTCTAAGGTGACACAATCAATGAGGCTATAATTCTTGGTAATTCACATTGTCTTATGCTTCTCTGCAATCTTTCAGGAGGCTCTTTTTGAATGACAACGCAATAAGTGACATGGGCAGGGCGGTTTTCGCCTCAGTTGCCAGAATAGGAACAATTGACTTGGCGAGAAATCAAATCAGGAAGATTGACTTCCAAATGTTCTCAGAGCTCAATTACGTGGAGGTGATCGATGTGTCGGGGAACAATGTGACGGAGATACTGAAGGGATCCTTCAAGGATCTCTATTTGACAAATATCAATGTTTCACACAATCACATCGCTAAGATCGAAGCCAATTCCTTCATCAATTGCGCCAACATTACTGTGCTTGACATGTCGCACAACAACATTACGCACTTTCCTGGCGATGCTTTCGACACCACAACTTATGCCACACTGTTTCAGCTCTCCTACAATCAACTCACGGACCTCTCGAAGGTGCCACTGAAGAATATGACAGGATTGAAGGTGCTCAATGTGTCACACAATAGCATTGAGACAATTCCAAAGAACACCTTTCCGAAACTCTATGAACTCCACACGATTGATGCGTCGTTCAATAACATCAGTGATATTTACAATGGTGTATTTCAGACACTGTTTTCACTGAGATTCCTCAATCTCAGCAATAATGCGCTGGAAACGCTAAAATCCTCCACTTTTGGACCACTTTCCACACTCTTGGAGCTCGATTTGAGTGTTAATGTTCTGAACAACATCGCCAGGAGTTGCTTCACGAAACTCTCCAGTCTACAGATGTTGAATTTGGAGAACAATCAACTCGAGCGACTCTTTCAAATTCCCATTTCATGCAGTCGACTCAGCCTGAGGAATAATCAGCTGAAAGAGATTCCAGATCGAACGTGGCCAACAATGAATGCTCTTCTCTGGCTGGATTTGTCACACAATCAACTGGAAGATAATCTAAATGGTGGTAGTTTTAGTGGACTTTTAACACTGCAAACACTAATTTTGGCCTTCAATGGTATCACAAAGGTTCCTTGGGAGAGTTTTGTGCCTCTTTCAACCCTACAATATCTGCATTTGGAGGTGAGATTGCAGAATAATTGCAAGTGAATCCTTGTCTTAATGCCTTCATCTTCCAGAACAATAATATCACGATGCTGAGAAAAGGAGCTTTTGGGAAGCTTCCTGTTGTCTTTGAGGTGAATCTCTTCAATAATCAAGTGTCTGACATTAGCAAGAAGGCCTTCGATGGTCTTTTGGCGCTTCTTACATTGAATTTATCATCAAATTCACTGGAAATCATTCCCAATGACGCCTTTGCGAGTCTAGTGGCTTTGAGGACTCTTGATTTATCTCACAATATGATCGAAAAGCTGGACAATAAGACAAACAGCATTCTTGAGGATTGTCTCAGTCTTTCGGAGGTAGAAAAACAATTACAAAAATGTTGCAGAAAATGTAGTAATTTTCATCTTTCTCTTCCGTTCTCAGATTGATCTCAGCTTCAATCGGATTAGCTTTGTGACGAAGAAGACTTTCCCATCTGATCCTTATGTGCCGTATCGATTGGCAAAGATAAACTTGAGTCACAACAAATTGCCAATGGTAACAAAGGACATAACGTTCGGGACAAATAAGGTCACCCACATGAATCTGTCGCACAATGCAATAAGTACTCTTCAGCCAGGTAAAAAACTCTCTTCCTCTCGTGATAGACGATCGGGGATAATTGGATTTGAAGGGAAATTATCGGGAGGGTGTTTTATCTGTGATTTACATCACAGCTAATGTCTGTAATTGCGCAAAATCAACTCCAATCGACTCAGGAAATGCAGTGGTAATGAAGATTTCCTCTCCGTCCGCCATTTTGAACACCCTCAAAATACACTTTCCTCAATAGTTCAGTCCCTATGGCATGAATCGGGCCCCAATTCTGGTATGTTATAGCTGATCTCAAGACCTTTCCAACGAACCACCACTTAAGGACCTAGGAACTTTCGGACCCTAGATATTAGGGTTCAAATATCTAAAATTAAAACTACTATAGCTCCGCTTCTTATTAACCGATTTGAATAATTTTGAGTTCATTGAAAAGGTCTTGTAAAATACCATCTCCCACTTAACTTAATAAAACCACAGCCAGAGGCGCTGAAGTAAAAAAAAAAAATATTTTCAAAATTTTGAAATCGAATAATTCAAAAACAAAACCATGCATTTTCTTTAAATTCTAGTATGTTTTAGTCCAGGTCAGGACGTTTCTAAAAATATGCTATAACTTTTCACCGATGTAATAGAACCGGAGTTATAGCGGGTTTAAAGTTTTAATTTAAAATACGCTATAACTTCGGTTCTATTTATCCGATCATAATGGTTTTAGGCTCGTTGGGAAGATCTTACAAAACTTTACGACTATTTAGAATAACAGAAGTTCATCAGACCACCGCCAGAGGCGCTAATGTCAATAATAAAATTTTAGATATCCTAAACACCAACATTTTATTCCAATGTCCCTTTAATTTGAGATAATTTCTTAAGTATTTCGATAGTCCAGTTCGAGACGTTTCCAAAATGGGGTTAAACTTTTATATCGAAGCCATAGAACCAGAGTTAAAACTGTTTGATTTTCAGGACTTGGATTTTATATTGCATATGAAAATTTCCATGTTTTCTTGCCTTCTAACTAAATCGAGTTGACCACGGAAGAGAGAAATTGTCAATCCCAGCTAGATAAGAACACACGAAGCGTGAGCTTATCCAGATTGTCCTTCTTTTCTTAGGTGCCGTAGGTAATTTGACCGCCCTGGAAGTGTTGGATCTCAGTCACAATAAAATTTGGGACCTCAATGAAGTGGGTGTGTTGAATTTGCCGCAAAATATCACAGAATTGTATTTGTCAGGCAACAATTTGGCTGAAATTCCCAATGGAAAAATTGCTAATATGTCCCATTTGAAGATTCTCAATGTGGAATTTAACAAATTGACTTCATTGGATCAGAAATTGCTGAATAAAATAATGATGGAAGGTCTTCAGGTCAATCTTGAAGGTATTTAGTGACTAATGGAGTGATTAATGGTTAGCAATTTGCAGCAATTAAATGCATTTTACTTCTTCTTCTACAAATTACAGGCAACAACTTCGAGTGTGATTGCAAAGTGAGACCATTCAAGCACTTCTTTGAGTCCTTCACCATGATTCCGGAGAACTATTACCACTTTGTGTGTTCCTCACCAGTTCACATCGCAAATCTCCCACTCGGAAATGTCACAGATGCTCAGCTTAATTGTCCAGAAGATCCAATGTCGGAAGACTACAGCACTCTGCCTGACCTTCAATTTCGCGAGATATCTTTGTGAGTTGATTTATGGGACGATCAATAAGGAGTCTCTCACTAATCGCCTGCATTTTCCCACTTAGCTTCAGAGGATACTTACTTGTGAGATGGTTTGTTACCGCCCAACGCGATATTGCTGATTTCTACGTGATGATTCGCACAGGAAGCAGCATTTTATATGAGCGACACACATCGTACGACACGAGAATGCTATCAATAGTGCCAGAAGAGATTTTCGGTGCAAATGGCCCACAAAAGTCCGTCCAAATTTGCGTGATGGCCAAATCCAGCACAGGAAGCATTGACAGATGGTTTCAGAGTCAATGCAAGACTCTTCCGGAAAACTTCTCTGAGCAAAATTCCAGATACAAGACTGTCTTCTTTGCCTCAGAACCACTGTCGAAACGCAGAGTTTTCTCTGCGACAATCAATAGTGGTTGCATTGGCAAAAGCATTTGGAAATACTCAATAATCCTGCCACTGATAAGTTTATACTTTGTGTACTTTGTATTGTGACTTTTTGTACTTAATTTGCGGAAGAAAGAAGCTGTGAAAGTAACACATGTACTCTATTATCAGTAAATGTTATTAAAAACAGAGGTTTTATCTAAACAACAGTGTATTCACTTCTCTCTAATTGGACAAATGGCAAGAAGAAAGAGCGCTTAGTTGTTATCAAGGAGGAGATAATATGCCCTAAATCTGTACACCATTTCTAAACACTTCCAAATATGCCTGACACTTCTAGAACTTGAAGTTTTTAAACTGTTTTCACATGAATTCGCAAACTATAATGAATCTCTTAAGTTTATATCCGATATCAGTGCAAAAAATCTGTTCAAAAACGCATTTTTGAACATCTTTTCCGACCATAACCTCAAAATTTAACTAGAAAATCCTTAGAATCTCCATTTCGAAGCATTTTGATCACAAAATGATCTGCTTATGATTTACTAATGAACCCAAAACTGTTGATTAAGAGTTAAAATTTACATTTTTCAAGTCTGAGTGACTATTTCTGAGGTTATGTTTAACTTTAATACAATTTGCAGTGTTTCTTGGCATCAAAGGGTAAGAAAAGCACTGTTTATTGCATAAAAATGATTAATTTTGCCAAAAACTAGCGATTTTTTGTACTTGAGCATAAGAATTGATGTGCCAGAATGCGAATTATTCACTAAATCTGTCCGTGAATCGATGCATAACCTAGAAAAAGATTTTTATAATTGATTCTGTGTGAAAAACGAAAGGAAATCCAAAGAATCGAGATAATTTGTCAGTAAAATAAGCACTCAGAATGGAAATACTACAAGTTTCTGAACACTTCAACTTCTTCAGTACTTCTGCTGATCTGTAGACCACTTCTGGACTGTATTATCTCCCCCTTGGCTGATATAACATCATCACGTGATTAGATTTTTTCGTGCTGCGCCAATATTTCACCCCCGGAGGAGTTAAAGGTTAATTGCAGAGATGAAGCGAAATTATCGCCTCGGCGAGAGAAGCCGGTATTTTTTCAAGATCAGTGATTGACCTTTAGTATTGTGGAGCATTAGGCAAGGAATTCACACACAAAACATGCCCACAATGAGACTTCTTATTTGCTGTGACCATCCGAGTGGAAAATCTCCCTTTCAATTTTGTTTAATTCCATCCATTTCAGAAAGTTTATCTTGTGCAGTTTTGTTTATGTGTATGAATTATCGTTTGTCGTTGGTGATAACAAACTATTCCACTCCACCACATAGACTTCAGGAGCGAACTCCCACTGTGATCTACAAATTTATGTCTCCGCCGCCACTTTTTCTTCGCTTTTCACCCAATTTGCGGTGTTTCTTCTGTGGATTTCTTCGCAAAAATTCACAAACGATCAGAAATCGGCGCCTGATGGATGATACGGATGCGGCCGGTGGTCAAGTTCACGGTCGAGTGCGGGATGCAGAAGAGATCTGAGAGATCTGAGAGATTAATTAGGGATGTCGAGTGGGCAGAAAAAGTTCGCCTCTGTCGTGTGAGAATACATAATTTAATTGAACTGAATAAGATAATGTGGTGAGGCCTCAAGATTCGGGATCGACAGACAGTATAAAAGCACCAGTGCAGCTGAGCAGAAGCAGTTCTAGTTCCTTTGTCGCACCGTTCGAGTCTCACGTTAGGAATCGTATCCATTTTTTTCTTAATTCCGAAGCAACAATGAAGGCTGTTCTTGTGGTTTACTTCGCTCTTCTGGCCATGGTGAGTCCGGCAGCGTGTGGGATTCTCTTGCTGATTGTCCTGAGTGGGTTTTTCTTCCCTATTTTCGCAGTGCTACGCCGAGTGGCGCATCCAGACGGCAGAGGATCTGGGCAAGTACCGGACCAAGTGTGTGGAGGAGCTGAAGATCGAGGAGGCCGCCGTGACGGAGTACAGGAAGTGGAACTTCACAGATGACGAGAAGACGCGATGCTACATCAAGTGCATCTTCACCAGCATGGAGCTGTTCAACGACGAGACCGGCTACAACATTGAGCATCTCGTGGAGCAACTGGGCCAGGGAGGTGACAAGGAGAAGGTGCGCGAGCAGATCGTCAAGTGTGCCGATGAGAATCCCAACAAGGACGACAAGTGCACCTGGGTGTTCCGCGGCTTCAACTGCTTCAAGGCGAACCACCTGAGCATCATCAAGATGAGCCTGAAGAAGGACTAGAGAACTCTCCCCCACAGACATCACAAAATCCCCCGCAGATGCGATACACACGTCTCACCCAGGCTATCACACGCGATGTTCATTGATGAAGGAATTATGAGTGGAAAGTTTTGTGGGTAATTGAATAAATACTGTTGTCGCTGGACGAATTGGTCTCTCCACTCCCTCGGCAAGCACCGGATGCATCAATATAGGATTTCACCGGGCAAATGCTCTCCATTATGTAATTTCTTCCAAATTAAAATTTCACCTCGCAATCAAAAGACCGCGTAATCTAATATCCATCTCTGAAACCTCTCCATTGTTGCACAATCTCAGGATCTGTTTCTGCAAGAAAGATCTCCAATAGAAATCCCAAAGAAAGTCTCTCGATATCGATGGCAAAATGATGTTTTGATTCAAACAATTCTATCAATAAAATTCACTGAAAGTGAAACTCAATATCCACAACATTTTATCCTTCATTCCACCAGGGAATTGACCAATTTCCATGATGGTAAATTGAACAAATGCAATCAGAGGTCATTCAATCGGACGAAGAGTCTTGGAAAATTTTGAGGCGCGTCAATTAGAGCTCAATGGAATCTGTTCGAGGAAGAAGTGTTTGCATGAGATTAATTTACAAGATAGATTAGATGACAATCTCATTCACGATCATATGATCATGCAATATTATCACTCTTTCAGCGTATGAATGACACAATTTCATGAATAATATTTTGCAAACTTTGCCACATCAATCAAGGGAGAGATAATACAGTCAGAAGTAGTGTACAACTGAGTGAAAGTGTTCAAAAACTTTCAATATTCCTTTCCTCAGTGCTTCTTTTACCGACAAATTATCCCAATTCTTTGAATTTCTCTTAATTTTCACGCTAGAAACAATCAAAATAATCCTTTTTGCGTTTATGTAACGAATTAAGAATGGACTTAAGTGAATAATTCGCATTCTAGCACATCAATAATCGTGCTAAAGTCGCAGAAATCGCTAGTCTTCAGCATATTTAAGCATTTTCATCCCATAAACACTTTTATTCTGAACATTGAATGCTATAAAACACAAGAAATTGTGTCGAGGTCGAACATAACCTCAAAAAGAGTAATGCAGACTTGGAAAATGTTTATTTCGAAAACTTTCTGGGCGATTTTGACTCTAAATCAGCAATTTTGCGTTCATTAGTAAATGATAAGAGAAGATTTTGTGATCAAGAAAGCCTCCAAATGGAGTCTTTGAAGATTTCTTAGTTATATTTTGAGGTTATGGTCGAAAAAGACACCCAAAAAATTAGTTTCAAATGGATTTTTACAGAAATATCGGATGAAAACTTAAAAGATTTTTCTACAATTCAAAAATTAATGTAAAAACAGTCTGGAAATTTTAACTGGTGCTCATGATGGGAAGTATTGTACAGATTTAAGGCATATTATCTTCCCCTTGCCACTAAATGGACCAGTACATGTTCAAAAATGTACTCCTCGTGAAGTATTGCAATTGACACGGAGATGGCGGCTTTGGAGTGCGCGTTGCGTGAACATTGAATTGATTTGAAATGCTGGATAAAGCAACGGAGTTTTGCTTATGTATATTCATATATATATATCACATTTTGAATTGTAGAAATTTTAAAAGAAATTTATGTGTCCAAAACTTACGCAATTTAACTTTACTGCCCGTATTAGTTCATTAAAAGCTGTGAGAATATCTTCCTAATCAATGTAAGAAACTTTCAATTGACACTTTATTACTTAACATTAAATATTTCTTAAAAACAGTTAATTTCATAAATATTATTAAATGTAACAAAGTTTTTCCTATGCAAGAAAAACAGTTTCTTGTTTTTGGGCAGTTTATTATAAGTTTTATTGCAATTTTTTCCTGTAAATTCATACATTTAGTGTTTATACAAGAACTCTAGTGCGCTTAAAGGAAAATTTTATAAACAAAATACATAAAATTTAATTCCTTTTCACCATCAAAACTCCTCTCGACTCCCGTCGAGGAGCACACAATTTAAATACTCACGTTGCGAAGAAAGGAATGTGTGAGTTTCTCACCCAATTAAAAGTGCCGACGGGCTTTTCTCTGCACAGCAGAATGAAGGTGATTTTCCAACACCAACACGAGAAGTCAACAATTTTGATCAATTAATGATTGATTTCTGTGGGTTCGGTGCATTTTTCCCGCATATGCACTTGTGTGTGGCTTTTGTTGAAACACTCTCATTGCTAAACGTTTGCATTAATTATCGCGTGACTCTTTCTCACATCCCCCTTGTGATACCAAAAGTCCTCACATGCAGCATAATTGTGCCCTCAAGATGGTGTGAATTTTACTGGATGATTTACTTCCCTCAAATCGTGCGGACAAGTGCAGAGGGGGAGAGAAAACACGGGTGAAAATCTTGTTACAAACCATTTTTCCACTGTCGACAGTGTCTGTAAATTTTTTTTTCTCCACCAATTCTCAATATTCAGCGAAGCGAGATTAATTTTACACCAGAATCCCGTGTTTGTCTGCAGGAAAGATCTTTTCTGCGTGATTTTTTTTCCAGTCCCCACCCAAATCGCCCACCCGCAAGAGTTTATTTGAATTGTAATGGGTCTGAAGAAGCTCAAGGAGATTCCTGAATTGTTGAGGGTGGCGTGACCCTTTTTCCTCCCTCCTCCCTCCCAATTCACTCTCTTTTTGTGTGGAATAATTTTGTGTATGTGAGACAGAAAGGAAAAATATTTGACTTTTGCATTTCAATGCAATTTCATGTGTGTAAATATTGAGGTATATAAATTTTAAACTTATTAAAGTGAACAAATCCGATTTATGCGATCTGAACACTTCACACTTGCCGTGGGAAAATTCCAAGGAAAATTCTGTGTAACGCAAAATATAGAGAATTCAATGGAAAATTTTAGGATATTTAGAGCGATTTTCATTCAAATTGAGGAGTGTTAATAGTGTTTTAATGAGCACGGCAAAGATGGATCAATCTGTGATTGTGGCTTTCATTTTTTAAGCGTGAACATGAAAAATATTTGCACAGTTATAATTTAAAATTGAATATATTTTAATATTTTATCAATATTTGCACATACGATCGCCAGAGGGCACCAAAGTTGGCGTGGAGGACGCTACTCATATCGCATTTTCCACATAATTCTCTTTCTCTTCCTGGCGTGATCCTGATCAGATCAGAAAGAAATTTGAACACGAAAAAGAAAGTTTTTCATTTAATTTATTTACATCATTTTATTTATTGGGAGTCATAGTATTTAACACTGTTAACAGATTATTTATAGGAGTTCAAACCACCCCTAATTAGACAATTAATAAAATTGAAATATAGATTTGTTCGGGAAATATAATCGGAACTTTAAATTGCTGCGCTCTATCGGCAAATCGCGAATAATTTCCTCCTTCTATTTTCCTTTTTTTTTACACAATGTGTAATCGCTTAAAACTTCTTAAAACTGTTTTAGTGGGAATATCAAGGACAAGTTTAACAGTCTTCAATTTTAGTAAAAATCGCTTCAAAAGTCAGAATTTATCCTTTCATCTTATTCAATCTCGTTCAATCTGTTATGACAGGTTAAGCTGCAATTATTTAATACAGATAATCTAGAACTGGGGGTAAAACCAATTAGATTAGACTGCTTGGTTGAAATTTAAATTGTTCATCAAGGCTCTGATGAACAGATGAAAAGAAAAGTTTCTTTAGCCATGCAAAATATTCGCTCAACCGTGCCAAAAACCCGATCCACTTGAATTTCCTATTTGTGAATTGTATAAAATGCCCATTCATGGAAAACAATATTTGGTCTGATGGAAATAAATTTCTGGCTGTGCAGAGGGCAAAAAAAAAGTCCGCGTAAATGACCACTTTAGGGGGTTTTTCCAATGGGAGAAGTATGCAGAAAAATCGCTGTTTCGTCCCACATCCATTTAATAACAAATAGCCCTTTCACAACCAAACATTTTCGAGGATATTTGCAAGAGGACCGGCGTTGAGAGAAATATTGCTATAAATTCGCTTTTGACCATCGCGGTGGCTGCAAAAAAAAAACTCTCAAACAAGCAAAACTTGGACTTCTTTATTATTTATATTTCATGCCATATTTTTTCCTACGCGCTCAGGCTTTCGAGGTGTGGGAGCAGCAATTCATAGGAAAATGATGAAGTGCGGAGTGAAAGAAGTAGAAAACATTTCGATTTATTTTTCACAAAAGTCAGCGAGCGTTCGCCGGGGATTTGGTCAAAAAGCAACGAAATATGAAAATGTCCGAAACAGGAGGAAGAATCAATGGATTAAATTTATTTGGGGTGTGAGGTGTGGAAAAACCACACTAAACGGCATTTTTCCACAATCCCAAAATAAATACGGAAAACCCACACTTTTCCAGAGCACAAATTGAGGCCCTTTTGTCCAGTGAGGAATGAAAATTGCCTGGTTGGAAGTTTCGGGATGAATAAGAGGAGTTTCGCGGATGATGAGGAACACTCTGGGCAAAGTTATAATTAGTACTTGATATAATATCAAGAGGAGATATTCAACAAAGTAATTTCCACCGATTACTATCGCAGATCATTCGCCAATGTGAGCTCATTAGCCTGCTAACCTCGATAGATGAGTTCCCGAAACAGCGCGCCCGGAATTGATTTTATCTGCGAGGACAGAGAACATGTTGTTCATCCCATCGAGATAGAGCGCAAGGGGGAGATAATATGGTCAGAAATGGTGTACAGCTCAGAAGAAGTACTTAAGAAGTGGAAGTGTTCAAAAGCTTACAATATTCCTCTCCTGAATGCTTGTTTGGACTGACAAATCAGTCAGATTCTCTGAATTTCCTTTGATTTTCACGCAGAAACAAACGTAATGATCTTTTTTTCTAGGTTATGTAACGAATTAAGGACAGATTTAGTGAATAAATCGCATTGTAGCACATAAATTCTGCTAGTCCTTGGCAGAATGAAGCATTTGTAAGCAATTAAAAGTGCTTTTTTGATCCTTCGCTACCAAGAAACAGTGGAAATTGTGTTAAGATGGAACATAACCTCAAAAATAGTCATTTGGACTACTTCCTGGACAATTTTGAATGAGAATCAGCAATTTTAAGATCATTGGCAAATCATAAGAGATGTTTTTGTGATCAATAAAGCTTCCAAATTGAGTTTTTGAAGATCTTTTAGTGATATTTTTAGGTTATAGTTGGGAAAATATTCAAAAGAAATGCGTTTAAAGTCGATTCTTACAGAAAGATAGGATGGAAA